GGGCTGGAGTAAGGTTGTTTGGGTGACTTTTTTTACCTTGCAATTTCTTGATTTCAGAACTCCATATCAAATACAGATACTTCTTTTTATATATATATATTTTCCCTGCTTAATGGTGAATAGATGTTTACTTGCATAATTCCAACTTTTGTCTATTGTAGGTTTGTATGTTAAGTATAAATTTATAGTGAATTTTTCTTTAATGTGAAAATTGTAAATCACTTTTTAATAAACTGCTTTATTAAAGGATTTGTGATGTACTAGTGCATATGCATATTTTTTAATGAATTACTTTCTGATTTAAAGGCTTAAATTGTTTAGCACTTCTGTGAATAGTCTGCAGTTTTTAATGTGTTAATAACTGGTATTTAATAATGTATTAATAACTGGTATTTAATAATGTATTAATAACTGGTATTTAATAATGTATTAATAACTGTAAGGTAGGGAAGTTGGAGCACTTTGGTAACTTTACAGTAAGAAATGTAACTATATGACTTCTAGTGTTATTGTGATTAATTTGACAATGTCATTTTGGTTTCTGCAGTGGCAGTGTTTTATATATATGTGTAGTGGTAGTTAGTATTCTGCCTGCAAAACATGTTAGAAAGGTCCTAGTCAGTGGTGGTACTTTATTGTGGTAGACACATTCAGAGCTGTAGGAATTGAAAGGTTTTGCCCTGAGGAAGGAGTCAGTTACCACTGGTGTGATGGCAGTGTGGACCCTGACTGTGCAGTGTGCCAGTCACCAAACAAAGCTTGGAGTCTTCTGTTAAATGCTTATTTACCAGTCTGAACTTTTTGCTTTTTATTGTTTGCTCTCAGCTAAGGAAGTGCTTATTTTATGTAGTTCCTGTCTAGCTTCCAACATAGTAACTTTTCTCATACAAAACCCATATCTTTGTGCCAGAACTGTGCTGATTCTTTTAAAGATCAAGATTCCATCTAATATTTTTCTAAACTGCCTTGCTTATTTTTTTGTGTTCCATTACTTTATTTTGGAGTTTTAACAAACTTGTTCTTGGCAGGAAAAGGTGAAGTGAAGCCAGATGTAGTTTGAAAGTGTCTTGATGTCACAAATACTGAATGGATAGTTTATTTCATTGAAAACAAAAAGCTCATTCCAGTGTATGGCCTTCCCCCTTCCACCCCATATTTGTTGATATTTGTGTCGCCTCTTTCATAACAGAAGTTACAGAAAATAGTCACCAGAGGTGAAACCTTGCCTATACTGTCTTGGCAACCATGAAATGTACTTGAACCGTCAGAGAGACGCATTAATTTGTTAGATCTCATTTGTGTTAGATAATATACTGGCAAATTAATCAAAATTCCTTTAAAGACCAGCAAATTCCATCCCTCTGATTTCCATTTCTATAGCAAAAGCTAGTCTGTACCATAACTTCATTAGTAATACCCTGAAGTGTTATTCTTCAAATTAATGAAGCAAGGGGAGATGTGTAGCTTAGTGATTTGGGAAGTTGATAGTTAAAAAATTACAGTAAGGAAGTAAAGATTTGACAACTAATTATATCTGTATTTAAAAAATATTTTCAGAATTAGTTTAAAATTTTAGTTTCTGTATTCTTCTTTTTCCCTAAATAATGAACCCAAGAAAACCTTTACAAAATATTTTTCAGAAAGTTTATGACTTGTGACAGTAACAAGATACATGCCTGCTGTTTTTTTCAATACGTTCAAAAGGTTCTGCAGTTTTGTTAAGGCTTAACCCTTGTGTTTTATTCTAGAACTATCAGAGTAAACCTGTAATACATACCGACTAATTGCAAGATACAGTAATTTGAGGCAGAAGTACCTTCATATAAAGTAATATCAAACCAGTTATGTAATCTTTAGAGGTTCTGTACATGTTTATATATGCTTTTAAGGTACAATATAAAATTGTTATGCAGGATGTTTTCATTTCTGAAGACGTGCTTTTCTGCATGGAACTTTCAGAGACATCTGAAAGCTGCTAGGCTTTCTTCGCAGCTGTGTCATGTTCAGAAGCTCACATTCATTCTAGGATTGAGTGAAAACAATCTCTTGTTGTAGACCAGGACACTCTGCTCTTCTTTTGCTCTCATTTGATCAGAGAAGTCTGTTTTTTGGCAAAAATTATTGCCATTAGTTAAAAAAAGTGTTGAGCATTCTGTATGTCAGATTCTATTCCAATACTGTTTCTGAAAGACATTCAGATTTGGTATTAATGAAACCCCTTATCAGTAAGTTATAGTACCAAACTTCTGCTTTTTCTATTGAGTTATGTTACGATGGTATTAAATAAAATGTACAGTTTTTATTCCTCTGCCTTATGTTGTGAAACTTCTTTATTATTTAGGAAGCAACAATAGATTCAGGTGTTGAAACAATCTTAAACTGTGATGACTAGACAGTAACAAATAATTTACTTCCTTTGTTGTAAATTAATTCTTGAATTCAACTGTTGTGTATGTAGCATGTCCTGTAACCCACGGTCCTGAGAATGACAGGAATGAATTTATCTGTTATCATCTGGAGGTTTTTGCTTTCTCCATCAGATTAACAGAGTTAGAGCCCTTGAGAACAAAGGATAGTAATAAAACTTAAAAAAGCGTTTTACTGTTATAGTAATGTCTGTTATAGGAGCAGGGTCAATCTAGTTGCTGTTCCACTTTTTTGAGGCACTAGAATTTTTCAAGGGCAAGTCAAATTTTGTGGCAACAGTCCCTTTTATTCAATGTGAAGGTAAATGTAACAGTCATGAAGATGAGACTTAAGGTGGCAGGCTGCAGTTCTAGTAGCTTGAGAAGAAGTAACAATTTTGTGGTTTCAGTTTTTGATCTGTGTATCACTTGAGAAAGCTCAGAAGAGGGATGAGGCGTCACTGTCTGTGTACCATCCAGTGCCATGGAGGTCATCTTCAGTCTAGGCCTAAAGTTCAGTTTGCTTTTCTGGATCTTGCTGCTTCTTTCCTTTTAAAGAAGGAAACGAGCAGTATGTGTATGGCAATGCCACTGTAGAAAAGTGCAGTTTAAAAAAAAGGGAAGGTTTGCTTTGCAATCAAATTGTAAAATATGACGATGCGTGATTCAAAAAGTGACAGCATGGCAGTCCTCTGTTAATATCTGATAATAAACATAGCTAGGAAGGCAGCAGGAGGGGGAACCAGTGGTAATTTTTTTGAAATACCACATTGGTAAACAAGTGCTCTCATAATAAATAGAACACAGTGGAGGATTAAAGCACTAAAACAGCGTAACATTGAAGGCTTTTCTCCCCCTTTGAAACACTAATAACATTCAGACAGGGAATGCTTTAATTTGATGGCAGAAGTGAAGGAAAGGAGAAGCTGAGGTAATGCTGCATCTAACTACCATCAAAGCCTGGTAAGAGAGAGCAGAGCAGTCAAGCATGACTGTTGAATAGTAAATTAAAAGTGAATAATTTTGGTTGAGGTGCTCAATTCAACTGTATTGCAATTTGGGTCAGCACGGCTGCTGTTACTGCACTCATAGGCCATTGCTGTTCTCTTGGTAGAGGATGCAATAATGAAACCAACTTTTTGTTGGAAGCAATGAGGTGAAGCAAAGTGGAAGCTGGCAAGGGAAGTAGAGTGCACGCAATTTCAGCATGCATTACAGGAGATAGGAACAAAAATTAAAATGGTAAGACCTTCCTCCTGACAATAGGTTTGAACACAAGCTGTGCCTGTGTGCAGCAAACTGACAAGTCTGGAACTGCAAAGGAAGTTAAAAAGATTTTCAGGCTTCTGCCTGTTTGTTCACAAAAGCAAAAAATTGCTTTATGGCTCTAAAGAGAGGAGTCAGATCACTGGCACTCTGAAAATGTATCTGCTATACTTTGGCTGCTTTTTTCTTTATGTAGTTTAAGAAAGTATGCTTTGAAATAAGCTTTGAAGGATCATGGAGTAGACTAAAAATAACAGCAGTGAAGAAGATCACTAACTTCCATTTCTTCCTTGTATCCTTCCCATTAGACATCTCACTTTTTGCCCAGGTACATTCCTCTTCCTTCCACACCAAACAGGTGACCATTCTTCAGGTCAGGTTATCCATCTGGTGGTATGGGTAGGTGGCATTTGTGTGATTTCTGATGATGAGCTGTCTGCTTTGCAACCCTGTTTAAACATTTCTTTGAACCCAGTTAATTCAGTTGAACACTGGCAGGCATTATTATTTAATGACTTGAGCTCACATCAGTATTATGATACCTCGTTTTTCGTAATGTGATAGATAAGGAGCAAAACTCGGTAACACTTCATCCTACTGATTTTCCTTTGTGTCTGTGTGCTTAAAATGAGAAAATAAGAATTAATAATTGGTCAGAAATCAAAAGTTTTTGTTCTGTGGGTACAAGCACTCACTTGGGGAATTGGAATCCATCATTATCAACAGTATATGTACCAGAATTGTACATACATATCCAACATTGTATGTACTTATATCAAATCCCATCCTGAAGGTCTTTACCATTTTCTATAAAAATTACCTATAGTAACATTCTTTTATGAGTGACTGAGATCTAGAAAATACAGGTCAGTTTGAAGAGTTACCTGAAGAACTTTTTTTTTTTTTTTGTTTAATTTAAAGAAATCAAAGATCTAATCCTTATTGTTTGTTTTCTCTAAATGCTATCATTATTTGCAGATGTCTAGCTGTGTATTGGCTAGATCTCTGGGTATATTGAATGAGCTTTGGAATCTATACTTGGTTCTGTTTGCAAGTATTTCCTCAGCGTATTGAGTTCTGCAAATAATTACATTTTATTAGACCAAATAAATATTAACTTGAATGTTTGCTCTTTTATATGCAGTCTGTTCCATTTCAAGATTGTAAAGGTTAGCACTAGTTTTATTATGCATACTCAAAACAATGGCTGAATTTGCTGTCTCACTGTAGGGTTACATTTATTCATTTATTTTAATAAAGAAGTGTAGCTTTTCAAAGTATATCTTTCTGATGGTTAAAAAAAATGTACTTCTCTCTTTCTCTTCTCAGATTTATCCAAGAATAGATTAACTGAGGTTCCTACAGAGCTGTGCCATTTCGTGTCACTGGAAACACTAAATCTATACCACAATTGTATTAAAATTATACCAGATGCCATAGTAAACTTGCAAATGCTAACTTACTTAAATTTGAGGTAAGTTTAACTTTGCCACATTTTTTGTTTATTTGCAAATGTGTAAAGCTTTTTTCTGTCTGCACTTCATGTGTTTCTGGAACAACTGACTTTTATTGGAAGGGGTAATGCAAAACCTTATTGGCTGTAGATGCAGGTCTGTATGAAGGAATTGTAAAGGCCAAAATGTAAAACTAATTATTTCAAGAAAGACCAAGTAATATTTATCCCTTTCTTTCCCTTATTCTTCTAGCAAATTCAAAATACTAATCACATCAGCACAGCTGGATTCTTTTAATTCCCTTCTGATGATAAATTTTGTGAAACTTGACACACTTTTTGTAGTTAAAAAGATGGAGGGACAGAGACAGGATTATTTTTTTTTTTCCATGAGGAATGTAGAGAAAAAGCATGATATTATATTGTATCCTCTTATTATGCAAGAAGTAGAGTTACAGCCTTTTTTAGGAGGAAGGGGCAAAGAATTAGGCACCTTTGTCTCTTTTTAAAAATGAAAAGTGTATGTGAATACTTTTTGGTATAGAGAATTGCTACTGGTTAAAGTGCAGGTGAATAGATATTTGCTTTTGAGAGCACCTTTTCAATTGGGACAAGTTGTGGATGTTTCTTTGCAGTTGTGTAAGTAAAAACTGTAATAGTGAAGATACAGTAATCTGGTGTTTGCGAGAATGAGGTTTGAGCTGAGGCGAAGTGGCTCTTGGGCTTCTAAATTCAAGATACGAAGGCTTGATCATCAATTTTGTAAATGCTGAGGATGTTTCTCAAGCCTTCCTGTGTTGTTACTGTACTGCAGTTTTGTCCGGTGTGGAACACTAATTTTACCTCTAAAAATTGAAACAGAGTGTGTCCTGAATATCTGCACACATATAAGGAATAGGACTTAAAATTTTGAAACAGTGTTTCTTAGATATTCATAAAATAATTAAGACTGGATTAAATTAAGTTTGCATAAAACATCTTAGTGAATTTAGGAATTAAAGTGAACTCAATTAGAACTCAATGTAGTGAACTAGTGAATTAGTATTCAGTGCAGTATTGGAATGTGTGACTTGTCACAAACCCAAAATTGTTACAGAGCTAATAACCACATATCACAGTATAGTAGACAAAATGAAAGGAAGCGTTTCAAGTTTTGCTAAGTAAGGTCACTTCCCTCAGTTTAAAATCTCTAGATGTGCCCTTCCCCCATGTTAGCTAAACACAGTAAGTCTGTAGAAGAAGAAAGAACATCCTTGGCAAGAAAAATACCATAGATTTAAAATGCATATTTTTCTGCCTGTTACCAGCAGAGCCCGTATGTTAAATAGCTTTAGAATGTGATGCCAAGAGATATACATAGTCTTTGGGCCTTGGTGGATACTCTTCATGTTTTATTTAAAGAAATGCCTTTTAAACTAATATGATTTATTACTCGCTTGCCTGGGTTATGGGCTTTTCATTACCTCTTAGTGGGTTGCTTCTGTGTTCTGTAAAACTTAAAAATTATTTTTACCTGTTTGGGGTTTTTTTTTTGTTTGTTTGTGTTTGATCTGCTGCATAGGGTAACTCTTAGATTCTAGACTTTCTCAATTTAAGTTATTTGGAACTTAAGAAAATATTTCTACTTATTCTAAAAAATAAGTTGTGTCTTGGTCTTCTGTAAAGACACTAGAATTGAGAATCCTGACTCCACAATAAGCATTGATTGTTTTCTTCAGCTACTGCTGGTTAGTAGTTGGATTTTTAAATATCCTTGGGTTTGTTATTTGATACCTGTCTGTCTCTGAGCCTGTGTAAGAGATATGATGATAGTTTGCTTTGTAAAATATTTTGAGACTGTTTTGTGGAACATGAATACACATCTTTATATGGAGCTTTGGATTGGCAGTTAAGAAATTGAGACGTTTGGAATTTTTATTTTTGTTTCCCTTTATTTTAATTCAGTGTTGCAACTCTTACTGAAATTACACAGAACAATTTTTGCCGTCTGTTTTCAGAGTTCAGTCATGCATATTTGTTCTTTGGAGCCTTAAGAGCCATGCAAATGATAACTAAAATGATTCTTACTAGAGTGCTGCTTTAAGTTACTGTTCGTTGTTTTTCTACAGGTTAATACCCATAAAAAAGACAAAGTTTTATTTTAAGAAAACCTTCAAATATTCCGTTAAAGATAGTAGTTAGTATGATATTCTGTTGATCTTAAATTTTCATCTGAGAACTGATCCACAAATAACAAATTAATCTTTTTAATCATCTGGAGATCCAGATCTGGAGATCTGGAGATCAAAGGGTTATGGCATTTGTCATCTTCAAGTTCTAGCTTGTTGACTAATTGTTACTAGAACAAGAGCCTAAATCTCTTGAAAGTTTTCTACCAAATTTTGCCTTTCCTTGCAACTCCTCTTCATGAAGATCTCACTTTTTTTTTTTTTCCAGAAATATGGTATGAAGAATAAAATGGCACATGTCAGTCACTTAAAAAAATTGTTTTAGCAATTTTAGAAAAAGTAATATATAGAGATAAAATGGCTCAATATGGGTCTTAAAGACATGAATTTTTGATGGCTCTAGAATTTTTTGCTGTATTTACAAGCACCAAGTAATCTTCAACTATGTGTGCTTTAAAGGAATTGAGAAGATAATTTTATCTCTAATTTGTTTATTTGTCTTTCAGTTGGAGCAAAAGACATCCACTATATTGCCACATAAAACTATGGGAATATTTAAATACTTGCAAAATACTGTCTCAGTTGACTTTCCTGTATTCATTAGAAAGGGAAACAGTTGTTCTAGATGACAGCCAGGCTTGTTACAATATTGTGAAACTGATATAATGCATTTTTTCCAGATGGGTAAATTCCACAATACTGTTTAATCAGTAACACAGATATTTTTGATATGCAAATGTTTTCTTAGTGATTGCCATTTGAAAATTTAAAATTTGCCTGCATAAGATCTGACCCATGAAAACGAAGGAATTTTACAACTCTGTCTTTTATGTGAGTATTCAGTAGAACGTCACTGGCGGTTTTAATGATTGTCCTTTCTTGTTTTGTTGCAGTCGAAATCAGCTTTCTTCTTTGCCAGCTTGCCTGTGTGGTCTTCCTCTAAAAGTCTTAATTGCAAGTAACAATAAGCTAGGTTCCCTTCCAGAAGAGATAGGTCAGCTAAAACAGTTAATGGAACTGGTATGTTACTGATCTTTTTTTAACTTTGACTTTATTTGTATTTAACTAGAAAGAGTAAAATTCACTTTGCAAATGTAACTGTAATGCTATAATGCAGGTTAAAAAATTAACTTTTGAACATCTCAACTGTGTTGGGTAGTAACACAATAATAGTTTCCTTTGTGTTCTTCAAGACCCTTCTAAACAACATCACTGCCCATGGTTCATTCAGAACTCAGCTTTGAAGTTCATCATCTTTAGCAGTTTTACGCACCACTTGCACTGGCTCCCTGTCTTGCTGTATCAGATTCATAGTTCTGGCATCAGGCTCTGCAAAGGTGTATTCCCCTCTGTAGCTCCTTCCCCTTCTGTTTCCTTTCTCTCTGTTATTACTATCTTCTTACCACATGGCATTCCACTAGTGATAGTGATCTTATCATGGTTTATTTTGATTTTATTTCACTGTTTGTCTCATGCAACTTTCCTTTCCTGAACACCAATCTGATTTACAGAATTATTATATTCCTCTCGACTTTAAAGCTGTCCATGCAACTACTGTTTCTGCAAGCAGTAGATAAACTATAATACATTGCCTAGTAAACGAGAATTTGAAAAGGCAAAAATTATTTGGTACCTTAAAATTAATTTAATTATACATGTGTTTTTAAAGTTTGTATATGGAAAATGTATATAAGAGAATGCTTCCCTTTTATCCTTTTATCTTCCTCTTTTATATATTGTAGGTTGAGACTGAATGCGGTGTATGCATGATATCTTCAGGTTATTTCTTTTCACCTTGACCTCTTAACATACAAATTGACAAACTACATTTTGACACTGCTAATTTATTCATAGTAAAACAATGATATTTGAACTTTCTTCCAACTGCTGATATCTCCATTGACAGCAGTTATCTTGCACATGTTTTCAGTATCTGAAAGTGCCTGCTTATCATATTATTATTTTTATGACAGTAGTTTCTCTATTAAATTATGTTACAGGAATTGAGCTGACCTTGCTTTACACCCCAGTCCTGCTACTGATTCTTCATATGTGGAGTGAAGTGGCAACTGTGGGGCTTTTTTTATTCTAGTATTCTTTTTGTACAGTATCCTGTGCTGCCAGGCTTTTATTATTTATTACAACTGATCTGGTTGTTGATGAGTAGGGGGGGTGGGGGGGGTGGGTAGATACCTTTTCCTTTCTGGTTTATGCCTGAGCTAAAGACTACCAAGTTTGGTTTGTTTTGGTGAGCATTATTAATTTATCTTATCAAATATTTTTTGTGTGTGTGTATTTTGTTTGTATGATGGGTTTAATAAGATTACTGAAATGGTTTTGATTTAATTAACCTTCAGAAAACCACATTAGGCTATAGCATTGTTTCCGGTGTGCTTAAAATGTGATTCAGTAAAAGATTATGGTTCCAGTTTTATATATAATTGAAGTTGAACAGTATTAAATACATACTAATTTCAGGGATAGGATGACTGAATAGATAATAACAATTGGAACCCTGTTAGGTCTTGATTGCTTCTAGTTTAAATGTAGCCTAGCCTAGTGTCAGCAGGCTCCTGTGAAATAATTGAAAGACTTGGCTTGATTCTGCCTAGTCAAAATCATCCGTTTTATTTCTATTAACTGAGGTCTGTGACAATATTTTCAGTAAAGACTTGCTGAAGTTCTTTCATATCTAATTAACCCTCTCAGTGAGGTGAACTAGCATTGCTGATGCTGGAAGTGTTTCATTTGTTGGTAAGAGTTTGTGTATAGCTTAAGAGTAGCCCTTCTCCTTATTTTAGAATTTTGAAAAGTTAAAAACTAAGAGCTTGAAAAACAATATAGATTATAGGGTTTGTTTGGGTTTTTTTTTAAACAAATCATGTGTTTAACTTTGGTATACTGGATTTTCATATTGCTTTCCAGTTACAGTATAATTTCAGTGTTACTCTGTCATGAAGAACATAACAATTCCCGCTCTAAAAATATTTCAAATGAGAGGCTATAGCAACATGTCCCTTTGATAGCCTAGAATAATTCAAAAGCTGAAGGTCTGATGTTAGTTCTTTGTGATTAGAAGGGGGTGGTGGGAGGGAAGTTTTTGTTAAATTGGGGATGGTTCTGTTCAGATGATCTGACTTAGTTTGATGCCACCATGAGAGTTTGGTACATTTCCAGTGAAATGAGTTGCATTATTTAGCTGGAAATTACTGAACTGTGAAGTACTGAGAGAAGCAAATAGTGGTAGGATTGAAAGCCAAGATCTGTGCTGGCATATATAATATAATGCAGTTTAGATAATAAGTGATCATTGTTCTGAAATGAGTAAAAAGAGGAAAAAAAAAAAAAAAGATTAAGTCATACTGCAGTTGTTGCACAAAACATTCAGCTGTGTAAGAGCAATGCCAGCCCGAATAGCTTGTGGCCTCCAGGCAATGCAATCAGCCAGGCCCCTGGCGGGGCGTGCTGTTGTTTTGGTACACATGCAGTGCTGGTGCTGAGCTGGCCCACGGAATTGATCCTGAGAGGTGACGAACACCTCCTGACTGCATGCAGTTTTTGTATTACTAGGACTTTGCCAAGCACCCTCAGGTTCCCAAAATGTTTCACAAGCTGCATCCAGTAAAGTCTGTGTGTACATAGCAAATGGATTTTTTTTTTTGTTATTTAACTTCTTGAAACAAATTTTACCTCTGTAGTTACTCTAGCGTGATTTAAGTATAGTTTGCTGCAAATTAGATCAGACCTTTCCAACTAACCTGCTTTTTTCTTCTCTCTTCCAAAATGGGCTAGGCAGTTCTTTTACATGTATATATTAGAATAAATTTCATACTTGGGGCATAGCATGACATATATTGCATGCAATAAATTTTCAGGTATTCTTTTAAATTTTAGGATTCTGGGTTATATAGATCTAACAGCTATCTTACAAACACCAAAATAACATATAAATTATTCTCCCTTCAGGATATGTTACAATTATTTGCAAAATTTGTTTGGGAAACTTACTTTTATTTGCAGCTGTGTAACTCAGTCATCCTCTACTATCAACCAGGAGGATGAGTGCAAAACTGATGTGAAGATAATCTGAAACTTATTTTCCATCAGAGAAATATAGTTGGGTAGAGATGACTCAGTAATTTCACCCAAAACTATCAGATGTACAGTAAAATTCCATTCTCCATCCTATCAGGCAGTATTGCACTTCTACCTTCTTCAGGTAACAGCCACTTTCATCACTGGGATGCTCCTGTTTCACATTGGAAGCCTTTAAATCTCTCAGGTGGGATTTAGGTCCTTCACCTCATTCATCTAATCTGGGCCAGCTGCCTGACCAAGTGGAACCTGCTGCCTTCTGTTGCCTAAAAAGATCCATGTGCTCACACACCATGTGACTTCCTTTTACCATTCTGTATGGCTATTATATCAAGCTCTGACAGAATCCACACTTTTTAGGAATAACAGCTCAGTCAGGAGTCCCAAGTTTTAAGATGGATGTAAGGAGGAGGTTTACCTCAATTTCCGTGTTTTGGATAAATTTTTCTGTGTGTGTGAATAAACATGTTAATATGGAGCCAGAGTACCATATTTGTTTTTCTGTTTGTATTATGCTGAATTTTATTGGTTTAAGACCATTTAAACTTTACCATAAGCAAGAGAAAAATGTTGATGATTTTGATTTGTTTTCATGACATTGAGCTTCATGCCACAGAAATGAATGTTCAATTTAAATATTCCTTACATTTCTCTAATACTGAGAAATTGTGTTGTCATGGCAAGACTTGGCATAACTGATGAGAACAAAATAGAATTAATGCAGAAGTCTGATCTCCAGCTAACACACCTTTGGAACTTGCATAGGTGTTTGCGCTTTGGTTGGTTGCAGATGTCCATGAAGTAAAGTTCCAAACTGCTGATTGCATAGTTTCTTTATTAGCTTGAAAACCATAGACATTTGACTTTGATAGTGTTGCTTCCATTAGTGCCAAAGTAATGGGAAAGATAAGCACTGTCTCTGTCACATACACACTCACAAAGTCTGATAATAGTCAGAGCATAAGTATAACAAGAAGTAATGTTCTAGGTCTTTGTTTTCCACAGCTATTCAAACAAAGTAATAAAAAAAGTTGGACAGTAGTGTTTAGTAGCATAAAGGATACTCTGTCTATAGAGATCTTGTGAATGCTGACATGCTGTCATAACATCAGTCTTACTGAGGATGTTCTGAAAGTTTATAAGTGGACTTTGGTTTTGAGGCGACACACTGCTAGGCTTTTTTGGGGGTGGTTTGTGTTTTTTTCCACTTCCTTTAAAATTCTCTGTCTCTTTCCCTGACTTATTCTGATGTGTGTGTGCATAAGTGCACTTGGTCTAGAGTTTCTCTGCCACAAGGTGACTTTAAATTTTAATTCTGTGCCCTAAAAATTGAGTATCTAATTATGAAGTTGTTTAAAGTCTCTAAAGTGAAAATAGGACAGTAAAGCTTTAAAAATAAATGATCTGGGAACAGTGCAATTAACCATACTTTGTGACAACTTGGGCAAAAGATTCACACATTAACTGGGATTTTTAATTTCCTTGTCTAAAAGCTAAAATAATTTCCTGACTGTGTTTTGACAAGGGAAGGAAACTTTGGCAACATAGATTCTGTTACAAGAGGAAACTTGTCTGATGCAGCAAGCAGCACTGCCAGTTCACATTTTGGTTTTACTATCATTTTTTGTTAACTAGATTTTTAGGCTTGAGGGTAACAAGTTAATATAACATTTCTGACTAGTATTAAAGCAACTGTCTTCAAAGACAGGACTTGGAAATCTGACCGATTTACAGAAATTTGTAGTCTAGGAGCTCCCAGATACTGTATAAATACATTTGAAAAAGTCAAGAGAGTAGGAGTGAATGTCCTAAAAGTATTCCAGTGGCTATTCAGGAAAATTTGGCATTACCTCGGTTTGGTCTCATACTGTGAAATACTGTTTCCTTTTTTTTAATGCAGAAATGGAAGCATGATTGGGACATTACTCAAATTTACAGGTTGCATGGCATGTAAGCAGAGGTTTTGATGTCCTTTTGATTTCACATTGAGTGTAGACTGGCAGCAAAAATGATAGCTAGTATCTGAAAACTGTCTTGTTTTAGACATTTAATTCAAGAAGTTGATCTTCAGTACACATTCATAGTGGTTTCTTGTTAGCAATAGTGTTAAAGTATATTTATTACAGTAATACTACTGTATATAAACTTGTCGCTTGAAATTCGTAGAATCATAGAATGGTTTGAGTTGGAAGGGACCCTAAAGATCAGAGATCACCCAGTTCCAATCTCCATGTCATGGGCAGGGACACCTTCCAGTAGTCCAGGTTGCTCAGAGCAATTGTGCTCAGTATAACCAGACCCCATACTTTAAACTTTACAGCAGTTAGTCCTTTAGGAATGCTGAAATGAGGATGGGTTCCAGTTTCATCCGGGTCATTAAACAGGCTGTTATCCTAGTCATCAAAATCAGACCTACTTAGAACTTGTGTAGGCAGTGAAGCACCTTTACAATAGTATGTTGAATATCTGTATAATGCTTAACAAAATCTGTCCTATTTTATTATGGCCTGTGTGATGTGATAGTCAAATATATGCCTTTCTTGAGCATCATTACAGAGTGCTATTGCTGTTTTCTCTCTTGTCTGTGTGTGGTTTTGTTTTTTTTTTTTTAAATTGTGCTTAAATATTCCCTCCAGAAAAACAAGAATCTTTTCAGAAAATCAGATGCACACACTGGCAGTTTTACATTTCATCCAAACATATTTGGTTATATAATCATGGTATGGAGTTCTTCATATGAATAAAGCTTGAGAAAACAAAGGTGGAACTTCTTAAGCAAATGGTTTTGAATGTTTCTATAGAAATTAAATTAACTTTCAAAATTAACTTGCTCCCCAAATAAGAATTCACTATGGGTTTTAAGTAATGTGTAAACATTTTCTCATGTATCTAGTTTTGCATTGTGAAGACAGGACATAGTTGCATGTTTTCAGGTTAATAAAATGTTGCAACAGTAATACCAAATTAGCTACAATTTCACATCAGTATTATTTAACAGTTAGGAGCCAAAAGTTCATTGTTTCTATTATTACTATTTTGCTGTAGGATGTCAGCTGTAATGAAATCACAGCTTTGCCACAGCAGATAGGCCAGCTGAAATCTTTAAAAGAACTGAATGTCAGAAGAAATTACCTCGAAGTTTTACCCCAAGGTAAAAACAAACAAAAATCCCAACACCTTTATGATAGCTCTTTTTAGTAGCATATTGGAAGTATTTTTCAGTCATGCAAGTAAATATGATTAAAAAGTAGTAATTACTTTGTATTAAAATTTATTACATTTGAGTTTGCAGAATACAACATTCAGTGGTACTCACTAAATAACTGTGTGAGGTTTTCTTCATTGAATTCTCTTTGCAATTCTAGGCATCTTTTAAGTTGCACAAGTGCTTAGTTGTGAATGTAGTATGGGAGCTGTCAGCTGAGCTTCAGGAAAAAAAGTATTTCAAAGTATTTATTTTAAAATTTGTCACTTGTATAACAATAACACTCTTTTCATTTCCCAGTATAGAATTGAGTAAATGTTGACCATATCCCTGCTCGTTTGTATTTTTCCTGAATGCAAAAGATTTATTCAGAAATATTTTATGATTTTATGGCAAAAATAAATACAGCTATAACATCACCTTTCTTTTTTGTTACTTTTAGAACTAGTACAGCTTCCCTTGGTAAAGTTCGACTTTTCCTGCAATAAAGTTCTTGTGATTCCAATTTGTTTTAGAAAGATGGTGCAGTTACAAGTATTACTACTTGAGAATAATCCTTTGCAGTCTCCACCAGCACAAGTAAGTGACATCTGCAATTCACATTGTGCCTTAATATTGGGTAGACGATAACAAATTATAGTTTATAAATATCGCCTTCTGCAACTGCAGGCTTCTGAACTTCAGCCATCACAGACTTTAGTTGTTGGTATGTAAATAAGACATAGAAAATATCCTATGTTCTATGTATGGATCTGTGTTCCACTTAAAGCAACATGAGTATAGATGATTTCCATTCCATTTGCTGCCTGTTTGTTGTGTTTTGTTTTTTGGTTTTTTTTGTGTGTGTCTTTCCTATCTGCATATGAAAATGTTGGAATATGTATATAGTTTTGAAAAAGAAGCGAGAAACTTCCTGGATAAATATTTTCTCTCTTTTTAAGTTCTAGAAGGTTCTACAGTGTTTTACTCTCAACCTAAAAAATATGCAGACTGTCTGTAATGTAATCAATGTAAAATTTATTTTACTTTATGATGTAAGTTTATAGATTGTAATACATGACAAAATCATACTCCTGTTCTGAACTGTACGCCATGCTGAGAAATGATGATAAATGAATGCAACCCGTGCTTGCTGCTTAAGGACAACATTGTTGTTGACTTACTGGGCAGTAGATTCAAACTATATCTCTGAGAACTACAATTGTTCTAGATCAACAGCTGTTGAAATACTTGATAGTTTTTATGGCATTGGAGAAATACTTTTCATAACCAATGGTGATGCTGCTCCTAAACTCCAAAAATACAGAGCAAGTTTCACCAAGCACTTGAGCTACAAGTGTGCAGTTAAAGAAAATAAAATGCAGGTAAAATGCAGGTGAAATGCATCATAAATATGCTTGGACATTAGTAAAATCAAAAGGCTTAAAAAAATGGCTAAGGGTATAAAGGACATGGTGATTAATTAAATGTCATTATTAACTACTTTTGGAAAATAATTTTTCAATTTACAGTTAGTAGCAGGCCATACCATCTATTTTATCATAACTCTTTTTGAGTGAAAAGCTCATTCTTTCATTCTATTTATAAATCTCCTTTTCTTTCTTGTCTTAACAGATTTGTACAAAGGGTAAGGTGCATATATTCAAATATCTGACTGTACAAGCCTGTCAGATTAAAACAGCAGACTCGCTGTATCTTAATGCCATAGAACAACAGCATTTGCCTCAACCTGTGGAAGAGAGGTATGTATGAAAATCTCACTTTTTTCATGTAACCCTTACAAACAAAGTGAAATAAATGTATTTATATCTTTAGCTAACAGTTTCATCCGTTCAGTTGCTGTTTAGAGTGTACTTTTTTGAACAGACATTTAGTTTGTTTTAATATATTTTATTGTAGTGAAATACCTGTAAGAGTTTAGAAAAAATATTTTTAACAATTAGTTCTGATTAAAGTTATCAGCACATTAGGAAATAATTTTGACGTGAGTCTTACTTTACATCTAATCTCTTACTAGTAGACTACTGAAATATGTTGAAAATAATTCAGGTGGTAGTGTCATTAAGTGTTGGAACTTTCTTGTAAAGCTATTAAATAGTTCTTATTTCTTGTATTGTTTTGTGATTTATATGTTGTTATACATTTGTCACATAGTTGTTTCAAGCTTTTTTATTCATTCAGGGGCTTATCCATCCAGCAAAGCAAGCTGCATGAATTCTGAGACCTTTTTAAAGTGAAATGTGCTTATTTGTTAGCAAAATGAAAGAAAAAATCTTTAATGTATTGCATCAAAGATCTAGGTAATGTCATCTTGTATTGTGGTTTAAGGACAGGAATTAGATACAAAGCAACTCCTTTCTCTAAGAATCTCCATAGCTAATTGGAAACCAGCTTTTAGCTAGCTCTTTCTTTGCTAATATGGGAAGTATGATATAACTAATCAGAGAAAGTAGGATAATACTTTATTTTTTGAGAGAAGTACTCACTAAAAGTGCTGAGGTAAATAAAGATAAAGGTGTTGCTGCTAACACCCTGAAAAAACCCACCCCTGTTATGGAATCTCCCTTTCAGTCATGTAGATAAGGTTTCTAACAAATTGCTTACCTCCATGTATGTTTGGAGACACCTTTGTGAATTTCTATCAGATAAATGCCAAAGGTGGGAAGAATTCTGGATGAAGAGTAAGTTTTCCATTTGGGAAATACCTACAGATTTTTGGGGTTTTTCTTTTAGCATATAAGAAAATTGATAACAGTGTCATGTCCTGTATGACATTTTGGTCATATAGGAGCATACATGTTAGGGTAAGGGGGATAGTACAGGGTAGGTGCCAGTTGGTAACTAACAGCCTAATACTCTAGCACATAATAATTACCAAATTTTTATTTTAGAGAATAATTTCACACTTCTAAAGAAAAAACATAACCTGGTTAGGATTTCCATAGGCAGTTCCTACACAAAATCGTTAAATGTTTACTGATAAGAGATAATTTAAGATTAGGATTAATCAGGTACTTTATTCATGTGAAGACTGATTAAATTATTTCTTAAATTGCTGTGTCAATCTGAACTCAAGATTACAACTTTCAGGATTGCGTATGAGGGGATTATAAAGCATATTTTAAAAAAAAAAAAGTTGTGATGATAGTATTGCATCTAACAGTGTGCTTTAAAATGAGCAGAAGTCATATTAGGTAATGAAACCAGAAGAGAGAGCAGTGGCCATTACTGTACTAATTTGCTTAAAAACCTAAATTTCATAGTCTATTTTAAAGCACTGAAAGGAGGTTTCTGTGTTAATAATTACTTCAAGCCACAGGGAGCTACCAGCTCACTTTTAATGCATCAGTGTTTACAACTAAATCTGTTGACTCCAGTTTGAGTTCAACTAGTTTAGTTGCTTATCCCATGGCTAAATGACTTCAGACTCCTGTGTTCTACTTAGTGAGTAAATAAATATTTTTACCTAGTGTATAGACAAAAGTAAGCATTATAGAAGATTATTTCTGTTCCTTGCGTTAATCCTTAGGCTAACCAGCCATTCCATCTGATCTTTTTCACTATCACCAGACTGCAAATTTGTAGTTCTTAACCGTTCTAGGCTATTTCACCCTCTACCATTAAGACTGGTTGGAATTTGCTTTAATTTAAGCAAAACTAAGACAGAATTCTAATGGTAAATGCTATGATAGCTTTTTATTGAGGTTTTTTTGTTTTGTTTTTTTTTTTCCAATTCATATCTAGCATTGATGACATCTACCCAAGTAAAAAGGACTCAGATTCCGGTGTTGGTAGTGATAATGGTGATAAACGTTTGTCAGCAACAGAGGTAAGTTGCCTGAATTTTGAGTCCAGCTCCCTGTCCAGTACCTGTATTTTTACTATGTTTTAAGTTTGTTAACAATGTGAATACATTTTTAGCCATCAAAAGTGTGCAACCATATCCTTGACCTGAATTTCTTGCTAAGAAATGGTTAAACAAAGGTAAACGGAGACTGGGGTTTTTCTTTTTTTTCTCTTGTCTGTACACTTTCTGAAGAGGGCAGTGAGATACTTGCTTACAAATGGTCAATGACCTACCAATAGTGAAAATTCACTGCAGCAGTTTACATAAACGAAGACCAAATCAGAATCCATGACTGCTGTTTTCAACAAAATAAATGTCCTAACAGGTTACATGCCTGGCTACTAATCACCTGTTTTCTCTGACTGATGACTCTCCTGTTGGGAATTAACAGGAGTTCAGGGTGCTGAGTCCTGGTATGTTCTGTGACGTTCTGGTTATGGCAGTTCACTGTAGTGTAGGAACTTCAGAAACTTTGCAGATCTTAATGCGTTTACATGTTCTGGCAATTACCTAGTGCTGGAAATCAGCCTTCAGAAATTTTATGAACTATGTTGTCTGACTGTGTAAAGAGAAAGGATAGTTTTCTGAGACTGGTGTTATCCTAAGCAGTTAGAACTCACTTCCCTAGACCTTTATTCTGAGGCACTGCTCAGCTGAATAGGGCACTAAATCTATTTGGAGTTGAACTGAATAAATAACGATAAATAAGTAAATAATTTTCAATATAATTCAGTGATGATCTTTCTGAAATATGCAAATAATGGGATTTCTAGTCTGACCTAATAGGAAATATACAGGTCACAATAAAAGAATGAGCTTCTTGCTACTTAAAATAATTTTACACTGATTCTTTAGTGTTTCTCTCCTCCTTTGAGGAAAAGAGATTCTGTTGCTTTTGAAAAAAAATGTATAAAGAATCAAGTGTAGGTACTGAATTTGTAGTCACTAAAAAGCAGATTGAAAATCAATCCACTTACACACCGATTGGTCTTTTGAATACAAAACAACTTGGAAATCCCTGTGGGGCTTTTTTTAAAGTATTTGGGCAAGTTTCTGGCTAGATAGAAATGAAGCAGAGTTACGGACATTTCTAGCCAGACTTCTAATGGTTTCTTCCAGTTGTAAGAGCGTGCAGGCCATAAGACACTTACGAACTGTTTTGCCGTTCTTACACTTCCTGAAGCTGAGTTAGCATGTTAATGAAACTAATACTCCAGAATTTCCTCTTTAGCTACAAGTAACACCTTTAGAAAATAGTTCATCTTTCCTGTAATCGAAACGTAGCCATTGAAATGCTGCAAAAAATATTTTAAAGACCATCAACAGTGAACCAATATATTTTTATTAGCACAGAGGTTTCTTATATGTGAACTGATTTACTCATTCCATCCCCACCTGACTACTGCCCTACTATTAAGGAGAAAATAGATGCTGAGATCAGTAGTCCCAAATGTATTTGGTAGTAAATTCACCACTCGCTTTTCCTTCTGATGCAACCTTTTAATACCTGTATTATAGATGAGAGTTGTGCAAAAATATTAGCATGTTGCAAATACAGATTCACATATGTTGTTAATTACAATCAGAAATGTACATATCAAATATTAGATAAACATTAAATGGGCAGTCATAAAGTGATCATTAAAACACATTTTTGGAGGGTTTTTATAAATACATCAGCCATAAAAACAAACTGCATTTTTTTAGTCTGAAAGCTAGTAGCTTTGAGTTTCATCTCTTTTACAGAATATACTACCATGTCATTTGTGTAACTTGAAAATGGTACCTTAAATTAATCACTTGTTTGAATACTAATGTATTTTTTAGGAAGTTTGCTAATTAGTTTTGGATCCATAAACACAGGAGAGATTACTTATTGAAATGAATGATTTAGTATTTCTGTCTGACTTGTTGGTAGGGTCATTTCAGGGTCAATTCTTCAGAGATATAGTCATCTTGAGCATTTCAAGTGAAAGATATCTTGTAGTGTTGCTGTAAAATTGATCACAGCAGCTTGAAGGCAAATTTCGCTTTAAGGTAGTGCACTCATGTACCTCATCGTTTAGGAACAGTGCAGCATTTTGATCCATTTTCCACCTCCCTTCAGCCTTATTTTTTCCTTAGTTAAACTTCATGAGGACAAGAGGGTACTTGTTAAGATCTGGATGTTGTCCCTGCTTTAGTACCCATAAGAGTGATGCATTAGTACCAGCAAGAATGTATATGAAGAGTCTTTCAAAATGCATCATCTGAACTCAGTGTTGGCATAGCATTAGGTATTTTTAATTGTTCCATGTCTGTTGTCTTCTGTTGCTAGCTGAATAAAAATAAAACTCTGGATGAAGGACGTGAGATACAGTATTTCACCTGTGAAGGAGCAATACTTTTGTATTATTGCAGGCTGCAGGATAGTTTCTATTTCATGCTATACTGGCAGGAAACACCTGGAAAATCAATTGCAGAATTCTGTAGGCCCTGAAAGTGAGACATAGCTTGTTAAAGGAATGAATTTCTGTTTCTAGATTGAATGGCCCATGGCTTTTTTTGACACCAACACTCCAAAATATTTTCTTAAAAGCAGTATGTGTGACTCTGCTGAGAAAAAATCATGCCTGTTTTAGTATTCAGAATTTGTAATAAGTGTATAAGAATATTTTACTGTAATATTTTCAAATGATAGTTGTGAAATTAACAAAACATGAATCTTTGATTTAGAATAACTAAATTTAATGCTTAAATGTCACATGAGATATAAACTGAAAGAAAGAGAAGGAACTTCACTGTAACCTTGGTTGTCTGCATGAATTTATAGTGTGCACAATTTTTTTTTTTTTTTAAAGCTGTTGGGTTGTCATTGCTTCAGGTCTAAAAAAACTAGTGACTTTTGTGCTTAGAATACTTGGAGTGTGGTTTGTTTATTTTCTGTTTGAGATACTATATTGTTTAATTTTAAAATAAAATTTATTTTAAAATTTGTTTTAAAAATTGACAAACAGGAGCAGTACTGCAATGCTAGTTCACTTCATTACAAAGCTTCATCATTATGATAAGGCTTTATCAAGTCCCTGAACATCCTTTTGATTTTTTTTCTCTTTAGGCAGAAGAATACAGCCAGTGAACTGATAGAGTTGTTAATATGCAGTTTATTTGTAGAAAACATTTGTGGTGGTCCACTTTTATAAAATGCATTAAGTCCAGGGTATTCTTGGCAAATGGGAATAACCACATGTAAGTCTGATACACTTTTTTTGGAGCAAAGTAGATTTGCTCCATCCCTTATCACAAACATTACCTTCAGGATTAAAAAAAATATTTTCTGCATAGAATATGAACATATAAAGGTTGTAAGAATGGCATAACTCTACTAGAAGCTAGTGACTGTGAAGCTGGGTAACTGATTGTATGTGACAACATCCCATTCCATTGCAGATCTTGTTACAGTGGGCTGAACTGATAAACAGGGAAATACCATTTCCTTAAAAATATATATTCTTAAAGGATATGGAACAAACTGCTATATATGTGTTATAGCAGTTACAATTACAAAGCACATGTCTAGAATATGTATGTACAGAGCATCCAAAGAATGAGCAATGCCAGTGGTTTTGTTGGGAAATGAATTTGCAAAATTCTGAAAGACTGTTGTAGTGGTAAGCTCTCTATCTCAGGAAAGCAAGGATAAAAACTTGGCCTCTTCTGCAAACTGTGTTTTTGCCATAGTTCACCTCGGGAGAATGTGAACAGGTCCCACTGTGAGCAGGTCAGTGCTGGTCCTGTAGAACAGCAGAGCCCTGGTGGCATGGGACAGAAGTGAAGGCGAGTGTCTCAGTGCTTCTTTGTGTAGCCACTGTCTATAAAGTTACAGACAGGATAAGCTTGTGATAAAAGTAATGTGTTTTAGTGTACCAGCTAATACAGCTGAAAAACATGGATGAGGTTTTAAGTCATTGAAGAGAAGCCAGTGTACTTGAGTGTTTATGCTTTTTTTCAGGTCTACCAGTTAATCTAATAACTGTCTCAGCCTACAAAGTTCATCTTGCTTGCTTTAGATATGCAATTAATAAGCTACATGGTAAACCGGGGGGAAAAGGTCTTGAAGGGAAAGAAAAAAGGACTGGGATACAAGGTTTAGACTTCGGTGGCTACAAGGAGCCTCTATTTTCAGCTATCCCAGGAAAGTGCACAGAGAGCAGCACAGTGCAGTTGTGTCACTGCAAGGAGAGGACTAGTTGCAGTGAGGAAGATAAGAAAAGAGGACATCTGAATTGTTCTGCTTGGCAAATGTCCTGTGAGGATGTATTCAGCATGACTACAGCTTCCTTCAACAGGATTTGGTTATGTTAGATGCTCTGGAAACCTCTCTCTTACTAGTTTGCCACTCTTTAGTGAGCACTCTTCTTAATATGTACACTTTTATCACTCTTGGTTTGAGCTGAAACCAGTGTTTATCTTATTTCTCCTTAGCCATCTGATGAAGATACTATCAGTTTTAATGTTCCAATGTCAGACATTGTGGAAGAAGATCAGGTTGTAAAGGAAGATTCAGGTCACCATGCTAACTCAAGAAAAGGTTGGAATCTAAAAAAAGTGGGCATTAAATACAGGGAAATTCTGTCAATAATTCCATGTATAAGACTGTAAATAAATAACAGCTCTACAAGCATCAGTCTTTCAGGAGTCTACAAATACCATCTTTAAATGAGATCTGTTTTATTAACTGCTATTTTGTCTTGGAATTTTCAGTGTTTAATTTTGCACTGGATCAATGCCTTATTAAATTGACTTTTTCTTGCTGATATTCTAGTTGAACAACATGCATTTTTTGTTTTTTTTTGTAATAAATGTCTACCTACCCAGAAGTCTTTGGGAATGCATATGAAGTCACATAAAAAAAGGAGAAAGTATGCTATGTAGAATGTTTTTAACTGAGCTGAGTTGAGGTCCTTATATTCATTTTCTGTAGCAATTCCAATGAACTTGTTGCACCTTGTCTCAAGAGTTAATAAGTTCTGGTTCTGACTTGGGGAAGAAGAGTTGGCTTAAACCATGCTTCCCAACCAGTAATATCAATGTGTAAGAACTTACCAAAACTCTACAAAAACAGAGTCCACTTCTGTAGTTGGACTTCATGTGTATATAAAGCTTTATTAATCAAAGTCAGCATTACCTCTGGAAACAAGCAAACCTCTTCAAATTTTGTGAGAACATATCACTTTATCTAAATATTACTGAAATAACTTATATTTTTCTAAATTATATCTACATACTGATAAACAATGTTTCTTCAAGGTCTGCACATACAGGATGAAGTCAGTGAGTTGCATATGGAAACCACATAAGTAGTGTTACATACCAGATTAAATGAGCTTCAGTTGAGGTACTCATCACAATTTAGTAAAATACTATATACTAGTAAGAGCATTACCATCCTATAGTAAGAGCATTACAGCCTACAGTGTTTATTAGCAAACTGGAGAGGGTAAGTTACAGGATCAGACAACTTCAAACAGAGGAGAAAATTATTACTGCCTCATATCCCTGGAAATAATATATGTAAGCAAGAGATTGGCATAGGCTCTGAAGGCTCTGATTCATTTTGTTTGAGTTCTGTTAAAAGTTTGAGTGTTTGTTACAGCATAATAACTCTGAAGTTGCATTAAACTGCAAGTCACTGGCTGAGGCATCCGAATGCCTTAAAATACTCTGCAGCTGTCCAGCTGTGTTCTTGTTATCGGTACCAGCAAGACATACTTGGTGTAGTTGAAAACTGACTCCATCGATGCCTGTTGTGGTGCTTCTGATATACAAGTTTATGAGCTCATGGTATTGATTTATTACAACTTTAAAATGAATTGACATCACTTGTTAAAATGCAAAGGTCTTAAATTGCTTGCAGTTTTTAATATGCTCCAAATTTAAACTTTGTTTCATTTTGAGCTCTATAATTTAATACAGTTATGTTGAGTAATAAATGTTGAGCTGAACCAGAAATAATTTTTTTTTTTAAATTGTTGTTATTAGTGGAATTCCATCAAGGATCTTCTCGCTTGATTGTCAATAAGTCAAGAGAAACAGGAAGCCAGTTTGATGAACCGGATACTCTTACTACTGAATTTATGAGTTACATTAAGGTAAGTTTGTGATAATTTTAAGTGTGGGGAAATATCTTCAGAGCAAACAGGAATTATAAACTGAAGACATTTTAATGAATAATAAACCACAACTGATACTCATTTTCGTAGAAGATACAGAAGGCAAAAATACGCAGATAGGTTTAAAGTGACTATAATTAATCTAGGAGATCAATTTACCCATAACTCACTCTCTAGTATATCTGCGAGTTATCCTTTAACTATGTTTAAGGCTTAAAGAAAAAGTGACAGGTATATTCTGTACTATTTGATTTGTATTTTGAATATAGCAATCTTAGCATTTACTTGCATTAGTAAAATGCAAGAAGACTTTCAGTGTTAGCTGTGGTGGCTAAAGTTATGAAATAATGTTATGGTATTAAAATACATTTTGTTAAATGTTTTAAAATTGTAGAAATTGAGAGATGTATAAAGACAAATTATAGCAAATCTAAAATAAAATCTGTTATTCTAGGAACCTACCTCTTACAAGATTTGGCAACTTCCTTTCTTGATGGGTTTAGGGAGAATACACTCTGTTATGAATCTTGTAGATGCTATAGGTGATAGGAAAGTGCCTTGAATAATCATGTGTATGTTTGTGTGCATAACAAAACATACATGTGCATGTGTACTTAATAACGTCTGTAAAAAAAGTGCTAGAAAGTAACAGTGGCAAGAGAAAGGATGTGGCCTTTCAGCTCCATGGAAACTGAGATTTGTGGTTCTGCAAAAGATCTTTTTATTTGAGTGGTCTTTTGTTTTTTTTCTAGCAACAAGACTCTTGCATATCTTCAGTTAGTTGCAGAGTCTCTGAGGTGGCAGCCACAGAGGACTAGCATTTAAAAACAAAGGGAAAAAAACCCAACAAATTTTTTTCCCTGTCATAGTTACTTAATAGGTGTAGTTATCAGAAAACTTTATTTACGTAGCAAATACATGTTGCTTATTACTTTTTGTTATTTACAGATACAAATGTGAATTCAATAGTGTTAATTATTAGGAAGAGTTATTATTGCTGGATGTTTAGGACACTACACTTTATCTTATATTGGCTGCTTCTTTCATAACTTTTATACTAAAAAAGTTTGAGGGATTTTTTTTTTTTTAGATAGTTGAAATGTTATTATTATTAGTATTTTTGATAGTCAAAATGTTAATGAATGTTTGTAAGTTTCCTGCATACAAATTTTCAGCAAGTGTGCACATTTGAGGTGAATGAACATGGTACTTTGCTCCGAAGCTGACTGTACATTATATTACGTATATACTTTGTATTTCCTTTCCTTGTTCTCACTTCATCCTCTTGATTTTCAGTAGCGTGCCATTTGAAGACTGTTCCCTTGGGTCCTCTGTCACAATAAGATAATATCCAAAAAAATGTGTTGCAGACACTGATTCAGTAAACTACTACATTACTGTATTGAATTTCAGTATAAGAATATTGCCAGAGTGATCAGTTTAATTTATTTTAATTTTGATACCATCTTAACATTATGGCAGTTCACATCAGCACTTGGTGACTTGCACAGGTAGTAAATCCATTTTATTCAGAAGATTTTGAACTCAGGACATTTTCTGCCTTGTATGGATTTCTGAGTATTGTGTTCTTTGGTTTATATCTAGTCATGTAATAAAATGCCTTTTGGGACAGCAAGGGTCTTCTAAAATTGATATTCTGGTTAACCAAACCATACATGAAATCCGTACAGCTTGCAGTGCAAAAGAGTTTAGGCTTGGAGGATTCTGTAATTTTTGAAATGTTAGCCCTAATTTCTATGGCTTTATTTATCTTACCTATATAGTTATGTACAGAGGTTGAGGATTACCTTCTAGAAGTCGTATTTCATTTTTGTCATCTCAGGATATCTGCCTTTCTTACGGGAAAAATCATGTTCTTTATTCCTGTAAGGAGACAAAAAAGAAAAAAGAATGGGCTTAATCATTCTACTGGGGATTGTTATTTGGAAACGGGCCATCTGGAGAATGTTGGAGAAGCTGGTACACTCCCCAGTGACACATCTGGCAGAGTTGGATAGCATTTATTGGTACAGGGTGATGCAACTGATGTGCCAAACACATGACACAAGAGGATAAGCCTCTCTGTTTTCTGCTGTTCATTATCTACTAGTACAAATGTATATCCATTCAGAGAGCTGCTATCTTTACTGGTTGCTGAACTACTTCAGTGTTCCTGCCTATCTGAGATGATAGAGAAAAGAAAATTGCAAACCACTATATGGAACCGTACAAGAAAGGGTCAAGTTTTCTAACAAGTAGCACTTCATTGTTAGAGGTAGGACAGTGGGAGCTCTAATTTATGCCTAGATTGAACCCAAAATAACTGGCTGACTGATATGAATTCTTATACTCAGTTTTTGCTCTGATTTGTTTTAAAATGTATTCATGGCTGTTAAAATTGTCAAGTAGGAATCATGTTAATAATTATGAAAGTACATAATTTCTACTGTTTTCAGATTTGGAATTTCCTTTCTCTGTAAACAAATCTGGCTGTGATAGGAGAGCAAGTAAGAGGAGAATTAGGGTCGTGCTTAATTGAAGCATTCTTTGCATATACCAGCAAGGGACAAATGAAATCTGGGTCACAGAATAGAGAATTCTCATGCTGCTTGACTTTCTTTTTACCGTTAAAGTAAGGTAAGGGCTGTTGACCTCAATAAAGTCTGAATGGTGACTAGAAGATCTTGTAATCAGTATCTTAAAAGGGGGTAGAGTGAGGAGTGGAGCAGAACTGTTAGTTTGCTCCAAGTAGCCACCCTAAACTGTTACATAAATTAGGTTAGTGCTGAGTCTGAAGCAGAATTTATTTGCCTACTTAATTGCAAAGTTCAGTTCTCAATATCACTTTGCTTACAGAGCAGAGCAGAAGAGTGTGATGAATTACTGAGAATAGAAGAGGACACACAATGGCAAACAGACGAAATGTAAGTATTTTTTATGTATCTATAAGCAATTAGCTGTGTCGTTTCATTAGATTGACCAGAACTGTCACTTCCTTATCAGTTAATTTTGTAGACTTGAAGGCACAACAGAAGCATAGCCTTGCACTTTGTGTGTGCTCAGTGTTTTACACATTATTGCTGAATAGAGTGGATGATATATTACAACTAATTAATATGTATGCACAAATAATATTGAAATAATTTTTACCTTTGTAGAATACAAGCATTTAATTAGGTATTTTGATATTTAGTCTGTAATTGACATTGATAAAAAAGGATTTTGTCAAAACTTGTAAAATCTAGATTTAATGTATGTTTAAAATATTTAATTTAATTGGAAAAAATCCCACAGTCTTTTTCTTATTTTTGTCATAATTTTAACCCTAAAGCAATCATTAATTCATAGACATTAATTCAAGAGCAGAGCAAGTGACCCATCAGTTGAGGCAAATGCATAAGAAAAGGAATTTAACATGACAGTGTGCTGTAATATTGTCACTCATCAGAACAGTGGAGTCCTGTATGATTTAAAAACAAAAACTGAAGGAAGGGAAGAATAAGTGCTTTCTGAAAGAGCCTTATTGGCAGGATATAGTGTTTCTAAACCATGAAAACAGTTACAAATGTTGAAAAGAAAGCATGGTGGTCCATTAAAAGAATTGTTGTATTTAGTACTTGTGTTAAAATACTTGTGATGACTGTTGTTAATGAACCAAATATTGGTAAATAAATCTTCGATTTTAGAAGTCAGTCTGTTTAATTGAATTCTAGCAGTTTTAGTTCATCACATTTATTTCTGGTATGCATGTTTTAGGTGTTGGAGCTTTAAGGACAAGGTGCTGGAGAATTTTTTTCAGAATAAACTGTTTCTATGAATTCAGCATATACTAGTGTGCACAGAGACTGTTTTTTCCTCTCTATTGTTAGCATGCCAGTTGAAAAACACAGCTCAAATTGAAATTCAGACTACCCTTGTTGATTGCTGTTATATGTCTTTTTTTGAATGTTTTTGTTTTCTGTTATAGAATAAATTTATCGGAAGAACAAGCTATTGATATAGTGATGATAGAACAACTAAGAGAAGCAGTAGATTTATTACAGGATCCCAGCAGGTATGCTTACAATAGCTGATGTGATAATGTATTTAAAATTTTTGTGAATGACTTTAGAGGTTTTTTTAACTGATAATTGAATGTTCTCTGGAGTTATGAAATTCTTTGTTAGCATACTGATGTTTTTCAGGAGACACTTAGATAGTTAAGAAGGAAACTTGCATTCTTTCTCTGAGTATCTAGCCAAGATTCCCAGTAAATTAAGAAGGATGTTAGGTATAAAAGAAACCTAAAGCTAGAGGTGAACACACCCCTTAACCATTCAACTTGTGTACACTGCTGTGATTTTCTGAAGTTTTGTCTAGGATTGTCACATTTCTTCTAGGGACTATGAACTCTCCTCCACTTATTCATGCTTGGTGTATTTTGTGGGAAAGGAGAAGTTTTTTTGGCCTGGCTTCATCCCAACTCAGTGGAGCTCATAAAGGAGGTGCCTGAATTAGTCTGTAGTCTCCCTCTGAAATCAAAAGGAGAAAGTTATTTGGATTTACCCTGACTACAGAAGGCAAGATTTTACAATTTAGCTGCTTATTTTAAGTGGTGAAAGTCAGGTGGAATGACTCTGGATCTGTGAATAAAAAAAGGAATAATAAAATGGATGCTTATCCTACTGAAAAGGACTGATAAGCGGTGTAGGTCATTCTGTCCATATGCTTGCTATTGCTTTTTGTTGTGTAATCACCTTCAGAAATTGATTTCAAAACTAGGTAACTCATTTTTCTTCATTACTTCTCTGAGGTAGCAAGTTCACAGCTTCATTTCTCTGAAGACTAGAAACATTCTTGTCACTTCCAGCTTTAAGTATCTTTGTTTCTCCTTCCTCCCTTGGCCAGTTTACTGTAGCCATTTGTTCGTGCAACTACACTGTTCTTCTAAATAGTTTAAATGTGGTTTTTGACACTGATTTTTCACCTAGTGGACCTTTGTATTGGACAGAAATTCACTTCTAGAGACAATTATCTATCTTTATTTAGAATCATATAAAGAATACTTGGAGTTCTTGAATCATATACTAAATACTTCAATCACAAGTATTTTTGCTTAATAAAAAGTCATGTAAATTAGGAAAGCTTTTTAGCTTCTATGGTTTCTGTGAAATAGTATACCATTGCTTCTGCACCTCGTGAGGTCTGTGGGATGAGAAGTGTAATTAAAAAAGGAGAGAGTCTGGTCTGAAAAAAGTGACATTAAGTTTAGTTGTCAGCCTTATAAATTTTGTCATTTTATTTTTTGTCAAATATTGCCCCAGTATTTCCTACATATTTAGTTTTTCTTATTAAAAAAGGCAATAAAATACAGAAAATTAATCTGTTTCTACATGCATGTGCTTTAATTAGTAACACTGGTGTTACTAATGTACTAGTTACTAATGAAATGTGTCTTAAAAATGGCTAATCATGTCATGCCTGTCTATTTTTCTTCTTGCTTTTTGCAGTGTTTTGTGTCTGTCTGTGCTTCCTTTTTCTAACATTAAAATACAAATATTTTTAATTTACTGAGCACTATATAGGCTTTTCAGTGTACATCTCCTATATGTTAACATCCAGACTCATCCAGGAAGATATACCTGGGTGTGTAACACTTGCTAAAATGATGCTGTAGACTTTCAGTTCTACGAGTCATGGGTTCTTCGTAATTACTTTTGTAATTACTGGATTACATGGCAGTTTGTTATATACTTGCATTACATAAAGCGTGTGAGGAAAATTTTGCTTTTCATACTGAATAGTCTTTGAGTCTTTATCCAGATCCACAAAGTAATTTATATGCTTCCATTGCTCCTTAGTTTAAGGTGCACAAAAGCTTTCTTAAACCTAGAGCATGTAAAAAATTAAAACTTTCCCCAAAGAGGTTTCCTTTATGCATCAGTATAACTCTAATCACCTAGTCATGATAATCTAGTTGAAATAACTTAACTTTAGCCAGAATTATCCTTATCACACACTGAGGGCCATTTAAGAGTTAGAAACCATTGTGGGGGCTGAAACAGTAGGTGATGCTGAGACACCTAACGTGCACTGACTAGAGTTCAGTGTAGACCATATAAATTGGAGCACATATCAGATATGACTATTAAACTTGTAAAATGCTTGTTTAGTTACTGTTGTCTTAGTGTTCTGCAGCGCTTCAAATCTGCATTTCCTATGCGCACGTAAAAAGTGTTTCAGTCCTGGAAAGAAAAAAGATTTCAGATTCTACCTTTTTCAGTATCTTCAGATGTTTGCTTCAGATTCCCATATTCCCTTTCCTATATTCACTGCTTTCTTTCAGATCATTGACTGTTGTGAATTTATCGTTGCACAGCTTTATTTTAATCCACTGTAAATTAATTTGAATATCTAACCAGGGCTGTGGCTTCTATTGAACACAGGATGCTAGAGGTTGGATATAGAAATCTACAGACTTCTAGATAATGTCATGGTTTTTGGTAGTAAACAGGTCCTTCCGCTTTGATACAACCTATTGCTCAGGGTGACATTTTGCAGATAAAAGCATTAAGATGCTTCTACCAAACTGATGACAATGAAACAACAGGAGGCGTTTCAAAAAGTTAAAAGATAACACTGAGAAGGTTAAAACCATGACTATAAAAGTATTTTGTATATCCATTTGTTTGAAATTAAATACAGAATGGTTACGAAAGCTATACCCCAGTGCAATGTTTTTATTTCAAACCTTGCAGATTAAACATGGATATTTCAGAAAGCAATGGTGTTAATCTGTATGCCATGGAACCAGCAAGAGCTTTAGACTTTCAGAAGTCTACAGTAAAGTGTGTTTATCTACCTTTTTTAGAAAAAAAATAATGCATTTGTTAGATTCATCATATTCACATTTCTACACAATGAATCACATATTTGCATTTGTTTATCTTTAAACATAGCGGTCAAATGCAGATGGAGATGTCTTCCCTTGGTCAGGTATGTTAATGAGTGTATTATTACAAAAATATTGGGGGTGGGAGTGGGGGAAGACAGGAAATGAGACAACAATTTCATCAATTATTAATCTACCAAGTAGGGCAGGGAAAAAATTAGTAGACTGGAGGACAAAACTAATTCTTCTTTTACATTTTTATGAAACATTTTATATGTGTATATACAAAATTCTGGGTTTATCAGTTACTTTTCATCTTAGATATTTTTCCCCATGTGCACCTTTTGTGTATGCCAGTTCAAATATCAGCTGTACATACTTGTCTACCATCCCACCCCACTATGTCCTTGTTCTGGTGTAGGAAAACAGTACGTACCTTCATTAATGATAACCCCAAAATTGTTTGTAAACTAAAATCAGTGTTTTCCTAGAGCACTGTCACTGTAGTTACAGAGAGTATATAAAGTGTGACTTGAAGTTTTATAGTATGATACCTGCTGCTTATTAGTCGATCTGTATCCTGACTGGTGAACTGGTATTCTTTATGAAGTACTTTGTTAGGTTTACATTATCTACCTCTTAGCACTGGAACTGCAAGTATATAGTATCTGCTTACCTCCTTGTTCACTTTTCATCACAGTATTTGTAAGCAATACTTTTGAGGTCATGTTATGCAAAAAAAGATACTTCTATTCATTATTTCCAGTGATACACAGTCTAAAGAGTTATTTATCTTACAGAGGGAACATGCTGAAGAGGAACTGGAGTTTCAGAGGAGGAGGGAGTTGATTATGGAGAAATCAAAGCCTGAAGTAAGAACTTTTGAACAGGGTGAAAAATGGTCATTGAGTCAGGTATGGAGATGTCTAGATGCAGTAAATGTGGAAACACTTGGGACGGATCATTTCATTCTGTCAATTTGTGTGTGGAGATTATAGTGGCTTTAGGCCCCATTGGGGGTTTTTTTTTGCCTTAGCATGAATCTCTGTAAATGGGAAGTTGATTAAGACCTATCTCTCAGGAAAAATATGATGTAATGAAGTTTAATAAAAGTCTTTTTTTCCCAATAAAAGCCTATAGTAGTTTCAGTGATTGCATTCCATGGCAAAAAATGTCACCTCAAAGTTCGATCTTCAATAAAATGAAACACCTGATTCCTCTTTCCACTCACCCCAAACACTCCTGTAGTTATATAAGCTGCTGTGTTTAACAGCAGTATTTTTAATATGGTTAATATTGCAAACAGGGTGTATATAGGTTGAGATGATATTTTTAAAGTTTAAAATATGTTTTATGTAGATTGTAATGATCCAGAAATAACTATGAAAAAAATCTAATTTAAATATTTGACGCCTTTGTTATTACTTCAGGACTTGTTTCTGTAGGGATTTTTGTGACTCTTGCAAGAAGATTCGAGAACAAATTTATATAATGTTCTGTCTGGTAGTACCTTACTATGGTCTATCTTATCCAGGCATAGATTGAATCTGGTTTATCTTGATGCTTTTCAAATATTCTTATGTATAACCATCCTTACCGTCAAATATTCCTGTGATATCCTTGTGACTTTGTGAGTCTAATTTTGTCTTTGTTTTTTCTTTAAAATTTCAAATTCAAAAAACCTGAGTTGCTCCATCTCTTTTGTTACATTGTTGTACATTGGGGTTACCACACTTCATTTGGAACAGTTCCTATTGTATTGCCGAGATTAACAGATAAGGCTAATTCAGTGTCAAAATGCGTGTTCTTTGTGTTTTGATGAACTGTTTAACAAAAACACTGCTGATTCACTTTTAAGAACCTTTTAAAAATAAGAAATAAATCTCCCTAAACACTTACGGAAGGCCTGATCTGGACAGGATTATGCAGGTAAAAGCACTAGGCTACAGTGCTACTACTTGTGTTACTAAATTAATTCAATTTAGCATAAATGCAAAATTCTGACCAATGACTTGCATGCTGTGAGAGAGATTAGACCCATAACGTAGGCATAACTGGGAGGTCTGTCACAAGAACATAGTCTCTGAGCACAGGAGTGCTCAAGCGTGCAAGTCCCCAGGTAGAGGTGGCTGGATCAGATGAGTAAGATTTCTTTCTGTTTATTGTAGGTAATATAGTGGTTGAGGTAATGTTATGAAAGATGTCTAAAGCTGAAGAATTTTTTCAAGCTTGAAAAGTAGCCAAGAAAGGTCGTGAAGCAAAATGGGTGTGTAATCTTCCTTCCCATCTTGCTAACTTTTTGAAAGCTCTGTGACCAAGTGTTCCAAGTGTTGTCTTTTATTTTTGTTGTCATTTTTTACTGATTAAAAAAAGAAAAAATTGGCCCTAAGGAAATTATTTTGAATTGAATTATAATTCGGTTTTACTTATGCCAGCTGTATTTCTGCTGATCAAGTATAATTGATGCAGAATTAATGATTGTGTTTCATATTTATTAACATGATTTACATGTTTCCAATTTAGCAGAACTGGTAACAAAAGGTATGTTATATTGCAATTATAAAATGAATTGGTTGTGGAATATTTCTCCCTTAAAATCTATATTAAAAATCTGTATATTAAACTCTTGGTGATAGTTTAATTACAAAATCTGTGAAACAAAATTGGATTCTGCGTTTGAGCCAACAAACATTAAAATCGTATGCCATTGTAATCACTTAGGATTGTAACTAAAAAATGAATGACAAATCTGTTGGAATAATTTCCACAAGGTTTTTAAAAATGCTGTTCAACTAGCAATAAAAGTATTATTATTTATGAAAATTGCTTCAGTGAAAAGTATCATGAGTACAATATCCTATTGTCGTGTATCACTAATACAGTTGCTGAAATAGTTGTGGTTTTTTTTTTTTTCCAAACACACAGAATGATCTAATCGTTTGGAATACAAGTGGGCAGACCTCTCACGGTGAGGTAAGATGGTAGTGCCATTTGTTTGTCTCTTATATGTTTCATATGAGTAGTTCCTATAGTAAATGAAACATGTAATTGAATATCACAGAAAATATGACAGCTCGTCAGTAGTGGACATGTAGTTTATTTGGCCTGTGGTTTATTCGGCCTGTAGTTTATTCTTGTCACATGAAGGATTTACTAGGGTATAAAAGTATACTTTCTGACAAGTTGTTTCTGAGTTATGTAGTTTAGTATAAAACATCTAATTTTTTACATTTTGTTTGTTCTGCCATTTTCTTTTTTTGACTCTTCCTTGCTCCACAAGAGCTTCTGTTGATTTCAGTGCCATTTCTTTTTGCACAGTTCTGTCATGTCCTTGACAAGTTTTCAGAGAGGAATCTGATTTTATTGATCCTATTGCTTTCACAGTGTGAATCTCAGCAGAGGTCAAAAGGGAAACTGTAGGGAGCACCTTACAGAGGTTTTTCCCTTCATATTTTCTATGGGAGAAAACTGAGAAATAATTGAGCTTACTTTATAGCTAGGGGGAGTATCTTGCAGTCTTTGGTTAGAAACTCATCTTTTCCAGCAAAGGAATAGATGCAATAAAAAAGGGAGATCATAGGTTTGAGGCTGTATTGTAGTGGAATGGTTGATAAAGCCAGTTGGGCTGAGATATTCTGGATGTCACTCTTACTTAGATTTATGTTCTTGAATTACACAGAACAAGGATAAAATTCCAGCAATGTCTCCTACTACAAACACCACAATTCCTTTTGGCCTGAAGCCACGATCAGGTAATGTGGGAAAGAAACTTCACCAATTTGTGTGTACTTTTTATTTGGTTTTAGTCTGTGTTATTAATAAATATTTTTTTTTTTCCACTTAAAAAAGCAGTGATGAAACATTTTCTGTTCAGCAGTTAAAAATTAGAACATTTTTAGGTTACAGGTTTGAATCAAGATTGAATTTGTAACAAGTATGTATTTGGCACATTATATATGGATCAATTTTCATCCCTTATAAATTAAATGCTTCATAAAATCATATGTATGTATGTTCAAAAAATGTGTGTATGTATATAAATATACATATTTTATACATGTATACATGTCATCTGTGCTGATACAATAATAGAAATACGATTTTTGCTTAATTGGTACGTAATAACATAGTTTAGATTTTGTTGAATAATATATATGAATAACTAGGCTTGTTTGGAAAATGCTTATGCATTGCTCTGAAAATTGCTCATTGCAATGCATCTTTCAGTAATTATGCTTGTGTAAGGATCAAGCATTATAGGAAGATTAGATGTTTGCTTTAGCCAGCAGCTGAGTTTAATGTATTTGCAGTGCACTAAATCTGCATAACCATCAATCTTTTAACAAGCAGCAGTTTATTTATTAAAAAAATCACAACCTCCGCCAAAAAAAAACTGTTGATGTATTTGAGGCCTTCCTTTAAAAATAGGATTAGCTACAGGATTAAACTCAGTTTTTATATTCTCCATGCCGAGGTAGTCAGTATTGTTAAGTCATATCATATCACCTCTAAAGAATAACCATAGGTTTTTCAGTATGTTTCAGAGTCCTAAGACTAATTCTGGTTTCTTGCATTCACCACAAATGCTTTAATCTTACATTCAGCCTAAATGCTGGTAAACCACTACAAGCTTGTACTTTCCATACCAAAGTATCTTGTCAATAATGGCAGCAATTTCACCTTTGAATGTTTAAGAAATTGTACCCATAGATTTCTGGTTTTTTGGTTTTGTTTTTTTAAAAAAAAGATTTAAAAATCAGAGAAAATGATATTGAACCAACCTTGTTTCTTGAAGAGGATATTTGAAATTTCTCATGTAGTTATGAGATAGTTTGACAGATCTGTTCAGTTGCATTTCTTGGTTTGTTGGACTATTAAACTCTGGCTCCATTCCTGACGCTCTAGAGACTGTTATAACTCTTTATATTTAAAGTATATAAAGTATATGTATTTAAATGATGAGCAAATGGGTCCTTAAAAGATTTGGAAAATATAAAGCATTGAATAATGCCACAGTTCAGCGGCAACAGTATGATAACACTGTTAGGAGAAAGATGTGTGAAGGCAAATGGGCCTGTGCTGTGTTGCTGCTATCAAGGGATGTAGCCTGTGTTACGGTGAGCTGCCAGTGAAATATGCAGCCAGGGACTGCAAGTAGTTATGGGAGAGAATGCCAGACAGTGACTCCTTATTCAAGTGTTAGCTTAACATGCCCTTCTGAATCTTGGTATATCAGTGCACCAAGATGTCCTGTACTTAATGACTGTAATTGGTCGGGGCTAAATAGAAAGGTGAATCTTTTTTTAGAGGATTTCTAGGAAGACTGGGCAGTTCTTCCCCAATTACATTGCACCTATGTATAACCTCATTCAATACCAAATTCAGTTGGTTATAATCTGTTGATTTTCTGTACTGTACCAATTCAAATTCACATATTTGAATCTCTCTGTGTATGCTAATACTGTAGTGTTGTTTGGTCACAGCTGTGGGTTGCAGAAACCTTGATAATCTTAATTTATTTTCCTTCCCACATTGTACACTACAGAGTTTACCAAGCTAGAGCCATTACTGCACAGTTTTTCACCTCATCACATTCAGTTTCAGTTGTATTACTTTAAATTTTTACCATGATAAGACAGAGGAATTTGGCAATAGTAAAACTGAAGGTCCAACTTCAGATAAAAAGGCAGCATATTAGGTATGTAGCACAATGTAAAAAAACGAAACCTTACAAAGGAGTAGTGAAGCTGCATATTGTTTCTTCTCCTGCTCTCACTCTAGAATTACTCTAAAAGTAGTATTAAAGTTTGTTTTGCTAACAGAAGAATAATTTACAAATAGTAGTACATGATTGAAAACACTGCCATGTTTGTCAGTTCTGCATGTTTTTCCCATTAAAGCTAGTTAGGTTGCCATGTCTCTGGTTTCTTCACTGTATTTGCTTCAAAAATGTGCAAATTCTGTGTGAGTTTGAACCATCCTGTCACTGTTTGAATTTGTACCTGTTAATTATAGACTGCTTTATTGCCCTAGAGCTCGGGTAGTTTAGGGATCCAGCAATTCTGTGATCCAGGAAAGTTTTCTCAGTTCTGTTTGTAGTTTCTTTTAATAGCTTTTTTCATTTAAGTTGTTCATGTGCCTTGGGGGAAACCTTAAAACTCAGTGGAAATTATTTTAGCTATTTAGCTATTTAAGACCATTAGATCTTCCATTTGAATTGCTTGCTTCTATAAATCTTTTAAATTTAAGTGCAATATTAAAAGAACGTTAAAGTATTCTAAATAAAACGTATATGTCATGCTCTTTGGAAAAAAATAGTGGCAAACTTACAATGAAAATATATGCAACCATACTTTTCTGAAATTTGAGAGTTTATTTGTAGTGTGTTTATTTACTTTAAATGAATGTCGCTTTCTATTTGACTCACACACCCCCACCCACCGCCCATCGTTTCATGGTGATTTATGTCTCTTGGAAAGGTGAAAGTAAACTGTTCTAGGCTTCAGGTTTTTCTGAAGTACACACACAAATGGAAGTGCTTCCAGAGGATAAACCACAGTGACTTATACTTCTGTGTTAGTACATACCGATATGTGTTCAGGACTGAAGGTTCTTTTATTCTTTCATTGTAAAATGAGGCAAAACGCTGGGAAAATTTATATCTGATGGCTGACATCATACCCAAAGAAAATGTTTTAAAATTTTGAAGTGTAATTAATGTGTTTTGCCTTCTTGACAGATTCTTTGCAAGGGTCAGGTGTTTACATAGAAAGTAAAGAGATGGGATTTTTTAAATTTTTCAGAATATTTCCTCCTGTATTTTAAATACTTTCATAGAGTATGTGCTTCTCAAATTCACACTGATTTTGAAAACCTTGAAAAATTACTATTGAAAAGAACCAGTAATTACGTTTTCTTAGTACCATGGTTTTGCTCTTGGGAAGTGCTTTTCCTATCTGAAAAGGAATCACTCAAAATACTTAATAAATTTAAACTGTTTGTGTTTATTCATGAGTTCATTAAAACATTCAGAGGTGTGCTAATTGCCAAAACTGAGTGTTGCAAAGTTCTTGCCATGGTATCTTTACTATGCCATACCTTGAAGCCTGAACATATACTAATATATCTTACAGTACTCAAGAATGTTTTTTACTTTTGCTACGTGCAATTTTGATGTCACTGTGTTTCATAGTTTCTGCTGAACAAGGTGACAGCAACACAAACCAAAAAATCGTAGCTTCAGAGGCTAAAAGAAGAACTGACAAAATCACAAATTTAGTTTGTATTGCAAAGTGAAAAGTTGTTCCCTTACAACTGTTTAAGTAGATACTTGTGAATCTAGTGTCTTTATTTTTGATAACTTGTTGAAGATTTGTAGCACAACATTAGTATTTGTGGGCATGCTTGCTTCACTGTCTTTCAAGTTTGTTGGAACACAAACAAAAATCATTAGAACTTGGCAATATTTTCCCTCTTTTGAGTGCATGTTACTGTTTTTCTGGATATTTGTTCCTTCCATTTGTTTTGTTCCCTAACTGTGTTATCTGTGTACTTTGGACAATAATGAGAATCCTAATTGCCAGCACAATAAAAGACTGTTTTTTACTATTTGCCATAAATTTGTATTCTATTACTCAGTGTTGACTCTGCTCAAGAGCTTAAGTTGTGCTGACTCTCAGATTCAGCTGATCTGGTGTCCCAATATCCAAAAAGCAGTGAACTGCCTTTGGAAAAAGGCATGGCTAAAGAGAGAGAGCTCTTGAACAGTTGAGTGTGAAGAAGTTTAAGATGAAGTTTTATACAACACTGTCTGAATTATCATCATATTAATACAGATTCTAGAATTGTGGGAAGGAGAAAGTATGTGATTAAGTTTCTTATGATTATTAACTTGGTATGCTATAAAATAGGGACTTTCAGTGCTTACTGAAACTTTACTTTGGACTTTCTTCTAATATTAAATGGTTTTGGCTGCTTTTTGATCTACACAGTAATCTTAAATTGATTTAGGGTTATGGTTTAGCATTTAGAGTAGAGGTAGTTTATAATCTCCAGTTTAGTTTGAGGAGCGTGAATATTGTTTGTGTGTGGGATTCAGTAGATAAAACATGGAAATATGTGTAGGAAACCAATATATGAGTGAGTTCATAATATTGTGGCAGAAATGATAAGGTATATTGTGATCAGATACAGGAAAAGCTCATTAAAGAGTGATATTTTTGTGAAGGACAGAGAATGAGAGGCTTAAATTCTCAGAAAATAGGAAACCAGTGGTAAGCTTTGAAAGGATGGATGATGTGCTGAAGATAAGCAGGGATGAGGTATTTTAAGGATGTCAGTGTCTGGCTCTGAAACACTGTAAAATGGAAGTTTGAGCAGAAATCCTTGCCACAATCAAGACAGGAGACAGAAGTGCAGAGTAGATGTGGTGGGGAAGGAATTACAATGCCTGCTGAAGGATTTGAGGAACAAATAAGAGGTGTTGTCAGGACTAGATGAAGGAAAGAAGGCAGAATGGATGGAGAATAGGAACTGTATTGCTGTGCAAGTTTAGCTCCATAATGAATTGATGGGTGGTCATGAACTGTGGTCATGACATGCTTTTTACAGTCATCTGGTGAATATTCTTAAGATTCTGTTTTAGCTTCTGTTGAAATGTGCAATTTTTCATACTTTATGGTGTCCAATTGGATCATTACCAAATTTGTGTTTGCTACTTCAAGTGTGGGTTTGCCAAGGCTTGTGGTGCAAAGTCAGGATCACCACTTGGAGGTATTGCATGTCTGTTCTTGTCCCTGCAAAGTCTGTAAAAGGTGCAGAGGACCAGAACTTTCCTAGGGTGGTGGGCCCACTGTAGGTTTGCACTTACTGCTGGGGAAGTCACCAAGAAATAAAAGTAGTACTGCTTGTACTATTAAGTATATTAAAAGGAAAACACCTGTAGTACATTGTTTATAGAACATATTTCAACAGAATGAGAATCCAAAGGATAATATAGTTGCTACTTGTCAAAATCAGCTACAAAGTTGTAATGTAGTAATATTTTCATATGGATGTGCAAATTGTCTTTGGGGGAGGAAGTGTTCTTATTACATAGTTACAGAAAATTACTAAAACTCTTATTCTTTGAACTTCTCATTGCTGAAACTTCACAGCTGGTATATTTACCCTCTGATTCATAGAGTGAAGGCTTTTATCAGGCTATAATGTAAAATCTATGGGTACTTTTTCTTAAAACTTGGTTTTAAACAAATTGTGTGAAGGGCTACGGTTAACAATGATCTTGCTAAGCTTGACAGCCTTAACTGCACATATAATGTATGATTTGCAAGTACTAACATGTAACTTTTCATTCTTTTTATTCTACACCATCTTTCATTCTTTTCTCAAAAATTATGCATTTTTTATTAATCACCTTTGAATTACATCTTTGTCATTGCCATACAATCTTAATGTCATATATGAAATGCTGTGCCCCCTTTTATTCCCCCTCTGGTCCTTATACCACCATGGTTGGACTGGCTGTCACTCCCCTCCAGCAGACCCATCCCTCAGTCTTCCTCCTATCTCCTTCAACACACTTACACAGGCACAAACATGGGACAACTTTAGCTACAGTATCCCATCTGAAGGAGACAGTGACAATGGTAGGTGTATATAATTTACTTAATTTTCTGTTTTCAGAAACCTGTATATATGGCAAATGCCCCATGTGGCTAAAGATGAAAGACAGTACTCTTGAGGGGTGTTTCTAAGACTAAACACCTCAGACCATGCACATTAATTTACTGTGGAATATGTAATATCAACAGTAAATGAGCGTCACTGTTTTCAAGTCTGGCAAAACAACTTTTCCCCTGATATCCTCTCCAAGAACTATTTCCAATATAGATTTATTTACTTGCTTCTCTTTCAAGGGTTTACAGAAGTTGCACTCAAACAGCAGTTAATTTTGCTACTGTCTTTTCTGCTTTGTTTATTCATTTTGGATAGATACTGACTGTTAATGAAAATACCCTGCTTCCATCTGCAGTTATTGATGCAGGTGCATAACTAGCTTAATTAGAAGAAGAATCCTTGAAGAAGCAAAGCTGAAACAATCAGCTAAGCAAATACAGTGATTTCTGTCCAACAGAAATTTAGTAAGCTGTCAAACTTTTCTGTGCATAATGAAGGCCAGGTACCTTAGTGGACTTTGTTACTGCTGCTTTTGGTTTGGTTTGTTTTTTTTTTTTACAGGGTGTTATTGTCATAGTATATTGAGTTACGGCACTAATATGTGAAGTTGGCCATGTTTGGGCTATCAGGGTCTTATACTGCATTAATAGTTAGGTGTCAGATGGAAGAAACAGAACCTAGACAATTAAAATGTTTATAAATATTTGATAAACAGATATACTTTTTAAAACTAGGACTGTTGTTCTCCCGGTTGTCCTAAATTAAAAGGATGGTTAGGTATTATAATGCAATGAAACTGTGAAAAGCCTCAGATTGAAATCAGGACCGCAAATATTGAATGATAAATACCTTTAGTTTAGAATGCCTACATTCTTTGTTCAGTTCATTACTTGATAATATTGCCACTGTGTTCTTGATTATAAAGCTAAAAGACAGCATATGTAAGGAATCAGCTCCATAAAGGAGATGAATATGAAATATAAGAATTGTGATAATGGTAAGTTGAAAAACTGAATTTAGTTCATGATGGTATGAAACTAACTGACATTTCGCTGATGAATATTCTAACAGAAAGCTAGAGGTACTTCTATCAGTGCAAAATTTGATTTATGTTAATCTAGATTTGTTACTGTCTTACTCTTCTAAATGAAACAAGCAGTACAGACTAGCGAGTGCTTGCGCATTTGGAACAGCCCTTCAAACCTTAAGTCAAATGCAAATATTAGTGTTTATTACCTTAGGCTCTTACAGCAGAAAACTGCTTTTACACCTGTTTTTTTGTGTGTGTGTGTTTTGGTATTGTTTTGTTTGTTTGTTTGGAGGCTTTTTGTTGTGTTTTTTTTTTTTTTTAATCAGGACTGTTGCCTTTCTGTTTTGTCTGGGGCTTTGTTATCTAAGGTGTATCGTCCTATGGTAGGAGGTAAAATGGACCAGAGACCATTCTCTGGCATTGAAATTAGTTGGCACAGCACGTTTCAAATCCATACCTAAGCACTCTTATTTTCCAGAACAGGATGGCTGCATTTAAGCTGCCTTTGGGGAATGTCTGTTGCCTGTGCTATTGCTCGAGCTATACCTAGACATTGTGTAGAAGAGAGGTGGATTTGCACCAGCCAAAACTGTACCAGGAAGCATAACCTTAACAGTATCAATGTGTGCAGTCCAGTGCTGAGGATCCATGCACCAGTCCTGTGTAGCTTGCTAGTATAGGCATAGCCTTTGGTATAGAAATACTGTGCATCAGTGTAGCATCTTAATGCTTTGTATCATCTTTAATGTAACTGTCTGTCAACAGCTCTGTAATAGAGGAGGCTAAGTCCAGAGTTTCCTGGATGTTATAAGGCTTGGAACAGACATGTGTCCCAAGAACTATGTCCATAACATTGTGGAGACTTTGGTTTAGCAAATGACTCTGTATAACTTCACTGTTACTTAACTTTGGACTGAATAAATTGTTCAAAGAGAAATATAACTTTAAACATCTAGCCTGACTTAATCTCTGCCTTTCATTAGTGCAACCTTCATTTTGTCTATTATTTTTAGAGTCAGGTTAAATCATTTTGTTGTTTAGTTGACAGATAATAAGTACTCAGGACACTAAATTCCTTGATGTGTTATAAATAGTGCACCTTTGTGCATTGTAATTCAATACAAAAATGAAAAATTTCACAAGAAAGTTTGTCCTTGACTGTGGTATGTCAAATACATAGCGTGTTATTAACTATTACCTATTTAACATATTGACACTTGTACAAAATACTTTTCTAAAAAGTTATTGCCATGGGCATTATATAACCTTGTTTGACCATGGGTTCAGAAAGCAGAAACTTGCTCTTGGAAAGAGTAAAAAATAGACCTTCAGGTGTGTGTGAGATATGGGCTCCTCTTGCTGGAAAAGATGCATAATGCAGGGAAGCATTCACAAAGGCCTAAACAAAGATAGCTGTGGCCAAATGGAATCAAGTCCATGATAATACTCTGCCAAAATTGAACATAAATATGAACTAATGCTTTTGAAGGGAATATTTTGAAATGTTGCTGCTGCTAATAAAGTTGAAGTGGCATCTAAATACCACTTAAATATGGTATTACTCTTCAGGCATATTTTTATCTGGGTATTTCATCTATGAAATGCAGCAAATTCAATTATTAGAGTTGTACAATGAACTATTTCTAAGAAGAAAATCTTAGACATTGCAACTACAGTTTTTAATGTGCTAAAAGGTTTTTATTTCACCTATTAAAAATTTAGGAGCAGTCTCCAATAAATTGTTACAGAGTTATTAATGCAGAAATTTTGGTTCAGTAAAATTCTGGAATTCAATAGAAGTCTTCAGTAAGAGTTGATACACTTTGAAAACTTGGAGCTGATTTTTTTCTCTGTGTGTTGTAGCTATCTTAAACAATATGCTTTCTTAAATAACATTTTAGAAATTTCTGATTGTTTAATTTTTACCATATATAAGTGCTTTCATCAGAAATTTACCAATGTAAAATTTGCCAATTAATAGAATTTAAAGTTATCTAAATTGATAGGTAATGCTTCTGAAATGGCTTAGTTAAATCAGGTTATATGGATTACGGATATACTTCATAACAACAGTAGATACAGCCATTAACAGCCTTTGTATGTTTGAGAATGTGCATATATAGAAGTCACACTTATACATATGCCTCTCTACACTATGTTAAGAATCACATACCTGCTGATATGCTGTGCTTTGGAAATTAGTGTTCTATTCCCAGCTTGCCTTCTACAAAGGCGAAAACTAAAGTCAATGCAACTCTGGACCTATTGTATCTGAAGGCATGGCTCTGCTACTCTCCTGTTATGTGTGGGAGGTCATTTTAATGAATGTTTTTATGATGTGTGCACCTGTGTGTAGATCCTTCTGAATGGTGACACTGATGGAGCTATGTAGTCCACCTGGAGAAGGGAATTAAACTGCAGTCTGTATCTGTAGTTCTCAGTTCCGCACATTCTCTACAGGACACTCTCCCACTCTGCCAGTGGGATTTCTGATGACATTAAAATGCTAGAATTTACTAACATAAAACTGTTAGATGTTCTGTTAAAAATGAGTTTTGTTTAGCGAATAGGCTTTAATATGCCATCTCCTGAAATTACAGATTAACAGCTGTGTGGCAAATTTCAGTTGCCTGTGAAAAGTTAAAACTATGACTGTGTTAGTCAAGTAGTGGAAGGAAGCAAGTCTGGTAACTGGTCATAGATTTTTCTATCTTGATACCTCAGATAAGTAGCCTAAGGATGATATGTAAGGAGTTTGTTGCCTTAAACTCCTCTTAGTAAATAAGGGAAAGAACTATTGCCTGTTGCTGAACTGCCATAGGTGGTGTCTGCCTGCCCCTTTGGCTAGAGAAGTATCTTAGATTATTAATTTTGTTACATAACCAACCTGTGTACAGATAGATGAGATTCCTGGTGACTAGACATCGGAGATTTTGAAGTATTTCTCATGCGGAAATTTTGACTCGTTTATCTAAGCCCTAGATGTCAGAGAGTACAGTTTTCTATGTTGACCCTGAACTGATTTGGGGGTTTCATTAACAGTTTACTTTTGGTTAGAATATAGATTAAATTTCCCTCTATCAAGGGTTCAATGTTTTGGTTTTTTAGATATTTTGAGGATTTATCTTTAAAATTCAGCCTATTACCCAAATCATAGCCTAAACCAAATGACTGACATGGCACGATTTTTAATGCCACGTCAGAATTACTGTGATTACACCCGTGTGTACCTTTCTTACAGATAAGAGTAATTCTTATTTTTTTTACTCTTCTAGTAGGTGGGTAGGTGCTATTATCAAGTCATACACTTCCAATTTTCTCATGTGCCTTTTAGGAAACAAAAGGCTTCTCTCTTCTGTCCTGTTACTTATTGACCCAGAAATTATTCTCTCTTTATTTAATGACTTTAAATTAACAAAATTGAGACTTGAGCAGTGGCTCTATGTGAAAACATCGGTTTCTAGGCTTTGTACATTCCACTGCATTAATTCGTACTTAGGGTTTCATGTTGCATTCAGGAGAGAGGCGGGGAAAGTAATAATACAAAACACTTAGTTCTTTTAAGCAGTATCATTTTCCACAAAAATCAAGTTGGCCTGTAATTTGAGTGCAAACAGGTGAGGGTTGCATTTAGTGAAACAAAGTGGCAAACAAAGTAGTAAACAGGTGACAGTTGCATTTTGAGCGTACTGTTCTTCCTAACCATTCAAAACAGTCATTGATCACAAAAAAAAGGGAAGTGTGGAGTTGCATATATGCAGAGATTTCATGTAATTATTTCAGTGAACTATACGTGGGCAAAATAATACAGTTGACAGGATTGGTGGGAGGGGGTACTGTGAAGAGTCTGTGCAATGCTATGTTTGCAATACAACTTTTTAATGTAGGCAGACTTACTGAATGGCTGTCTGCCTACATCAGTCCTTGGTGGGTGGGCTTTTTTTTTTAGTATAACCTTATCTAGTAAGCAGTTTGTCCTGTGTAGGAAGATGGTTGGCACAGCTTGTTACACAGTTCAGCATCTTTCAAGTAGAACCCTCTCCTACAAGAATAAGAGGTTTTTCCTGCCATATTAGATAACAGTTTTGTAGAGATCAGAATCTCTGAGGGACAGTGCTGGTGTTTAATCATCTGACAAAATTTACCTGTTGAGATTAGGATTTGATTGAAAAATTAGCCACTCCAGTGATGGCACAGGATGCTGTTCAGAGTCATATACAAAAAAAAACCCGTTGATGATTGTAATCCAAGACCAGATTTTTCTGTCCTTCTGAGGACAGAGAAATTTTCTAACAGTTTTTGCTGAAGGCAGTGCTTAAGGATTTTGCTTCATTTAGAAATTAATAAATCAAGGTGTGTGGTTTTAATCTGAAATCTGTCTTTTTTAAAATCATAGTATTCTTAAGACCACAAAGAAATTTGGAATCAATAGACCCACAATTTACAATTCGAAGGAAAATGGAGCAGATGAGAGAAGAGAGAGAGCTTGTGGAACAGCTACGTGAGGTATGTGAGTGTTTGTAGAATTAATTTGTGCTAATGGATTGTATTTTTTCATTTTTCTTTGAGAAAGTTGTCTAAGTAGGATAATATTAAAAAGGTTAAATGAGGCAATATTACTTCTGCAAATCACATTGATGAGACTGTTCCTGAAGTGCTTTATCACGAACAGATGTCTGTACTTCAGGAAAGGTTTTGTAAAAATTGAAATAATAACGGGAGTTACCTGAATGACATACAGTAAAATAGCATGCCTTGCACTGGTGGAATTAACAATTTATTTAATTTCATCAAGAAGGATGAAGTGATCACTTAAGAGATACTCTAGAAACTATTTCCTAACAGCTGGAGAAGTCTCTGTCTAGCAAGTAAAAACCATAATGTTAAAGCTGAAGTTATAAACTGTTTTTTAAAGTAGATCTCTAATGCTTCACACAGCTTTCTTAGAAATAAATTTAATATTTCATCACTTGAAGATCTGAATATACAAGGTGGTTTCCTGATATAATGTCTTGAATACAGAAGCTAGAGCCTGATGCAAAAATTGCTGCTTGTGGTTGCATAGGGTCTGTGTTACACAGCTGGTACCTAGGTAGCACTGATTGTATGACACCTATTTGTATTAAAAAAAAAAATAAAAAAAATAAAGGCAGCCTTTGATGCAAGGCATGTTGTGAACCTTAACCTGTCAAGGTTTCCAGTTGTCATGTTACTGACAAAAGAAATGGTATCATTTTACTCCTAAACCCAGTGCAAATCCTGAAAGTGTGATAGGTGACTTTGATATTACAACCATATTACAAGATCATTTGTTCTTATGTCATTAGCTTAATGGAATGACTAATTGCAAAAGTATTCATTTATTTTAAATAACATGTCTTACATTATTTAATTTTAAAGCAAGAAAGTTCACTTTTTACTCCTTATCAAAGAGTCTTTAAAAGGTGGGTTGTTTAATGTAGAACTATGAGGACTTTTAGATCTTCATTGTCTTACCTCAGGCCCTCACCTGTTTTAAGTCTGGATTCATCTTCCTTTGTCTTGCTGAATTTTTGAACAGAACAGATTTTGTTGAAGATTCAGCATAGTTGATTGAATGTAGTATATTGACAGTTTTAAACTTGGATGATACCAGAATGATGAGATGCAGGGATTAGATGAGACAGACTTACTGGTAATGGAGAAGGAAATGGAAGTAGCAGTAATAAACTGGACTAGGATGTAGTTCTTGTGAGCATAGTCTAGACAGCAGCATCAGTGCAACTTTGTACATTTCTTTTAAGAGTTACCACAAGTATGCAGCAAGTCCTCAAATAATTGTCCCTAAAAATAATGTCCTCAAGGTTCTTGCTTTGTGCATTGGTTCAGGTAATCCTCACAGTGAAAAGTAGAACAAGGTTATTCATCATATCAGGCACGATCATGGAGACTTAATAAGGATCTCTCTACACTGTATTAGATATTACTGGTAATACTGATTTAATGTGTTGTTAACCTTCAGCAATACGCGCTATTGTTCTTTGCACTTACCCTGGAGCATTGTATCCCAAAACAAAAGTTCTGTTGTCTCTTGTGAGAAGTTTGATTACAAGTCAAGGAGTGGTGACAGAAACTAGAAGAATCGGCCCTGCTTGGAAGCACATAGTGAGATTTTTCAAATTAATAAAGTTTATTCTGGTATACTGGATCCTTTAGTGAGAGAAGTAACCTCCAGACCATCTCATTATGTACTGTACAAGAAAATAACCCAGAACATCTAAGTCATTAAGTTTTATACTTATTCAATAAACATATCTGATAGTATATTTTGATTTTGAATTGTTTCATGGTATGTTAGAATTTAGTGAGATTCCACAGAACCTCCAGCCTAAGCCAAGTTGGGCACTAAACAAGAAAGAACAACTATTACATTACTCAGGTTCCTTATTTAGAAATCTAAATGCACAGTTACCTTTAGCTCAACCGCTTCACCTGAGCTGCATATTGTGAGAACACTGGTGTTTCTTCCATACATTCCTCCCTTTTCTTTGAAATGGTGTGCTTTTACAGAAATTGTTCCATTTCATAAAGTTTTTTGCTTCGGAGACATACTTATTTTTTTGCTTTGATTTTGTATATGTCCGTGGTCACTTCAGACAGGTGCCAACTCAAGAGTGATTTGCTGGTTACACTTGAGCAATAAAGTCTAGCAAGAAATTCTGGTTGATTTTTGTCACTCAAAAGGGTAAACATTGAATAGTTTTGACAGGCTAAGTAGAACAAATTGTCTACTCCTGCAGTGTGGATGATTTTTGAAAAAGAGAGCAGTTCTTCAGTGGTGACTAAGATCCACTTCTGGAGACCTGCAATTTTAATTAAATCTAGTCTCAAACCATGAACTCCAACAGGAAATACCATTGTACTAGTGTTGTAGGTGAGCTGTGCTCATAAAAAAAAAAAATTCACCCTGATCTATACTGAATTTGTCTCCCAACAGGCAAATCAGCATTTTAACAGAAGTCTTTCTAATTCGTTAATTTATATAAACCTGTTTGTAACAGATTTGGAAAAAAGTCTCCAGATGTATTCTTTCTGTACATATCTCATATACCAAAAATATTTTCTAAATTATGAATTAATCCAAGGTGAAAACAGAACATTATATTAGTGCATGTTATGCACTCCCCCCTTTGGCAGTTGTGAGTGCTTGAGTAGTATGTCTAACAAAAGAAAAACTGCACAAATGTAATAAACCTTCAGAGACTTCAGTGGGGACTGCTTCATGGTGAGGGTGCCCAAACAAAGGATGTGTGATGAAGAAGGGAAGAGCTGAATTTCTTCAGCTTGGAGAAGAGGGTGCTGAAAATACCATACGACTGTCCTCAGCTGCCTGAAGGGTAGTAATAGAGAAGGTAAAGCCAGGCTTTTCAAAGATGCCTAGGGAAAGAATGACAAGCATTGGCCCAAATTGCAGAGAAAGAAATTTCAGGTAGCGATAAGGAGAAGATTCTTTGCAATAAGGGTGGCGAAACAGTAAACAAGGTTGCCTGAAGATATGAGATCTCCTTCCTTGCAGATATCCTGAACTTAACTAACCAAGGCTCTGATCTCACTTCAGTTTTGTTAGTCCCGGTGACCTTCAGAAATTCCTTCCACCTTACACTCTCCATTGATTCTAAAGAGAATAATCTGTTTTCATCTAAAATACCCAGCATAGATTGAGGTAATATATTAATAGACAGTAATGACATTAAGGAGGTTCACCTAGGAATAAGTAGTACCTATTATAAGATGGAAGTAATCATCTCTGAGAGTTAATCTAAGAGTTATCTCTAAGTATAGTGTTAGAATGTTTTCAGGATCAGAGCACAATTTAGGAAACTCATCATATGTAACAGTGTTATTGTAGGGGTTTTTGTGGAAAATTCTAAAATGTTTTCAAAGTATTTTATTTCACAATATCAAATTCTTTTCAGTGAGACTTCAATTTTACTTAACAAGTATCCAGAAAATTCTCTTTTAAACCTGAATATTTTTCCTTGCCTTACCTGTCTTGCTGGTCACTCTGCTTCCAAAGCAATTTTTTAGGTTACTAGGGAAATATTGCCTGTTATTCTCTGCTTTTACTGTGATTAACACTATGTAGTTCTCATTCAAAGTGCAGATAATAAAGAAAATTTGAGATAGATAAGCTGGGGGAACGGTGAAAGGAAGGAGCCACATGTACTGCAATCACATAGCTAATTGCATGCATATGTGTTTTTATATGTGTATATAAATAAGTGTATATTATGATAGCAACATTTGAAGTGTTGAGTTTTTTTAAATAAGTTTATATAATTCAGTGACCAACATAAGGTAGAGGAGGTTGGGTTTTAATTTTTAAAGAATTATTTGTATAAAGGAAGTGTGTTTCTTGGTAAACCAAAAATGGCTATGTGTCTATAGCATAGAATATATACCTTTTTATCCCTTTCATCCCTTTCTGTATTAAAGTGTGCATGTATTCTTCATTTGCAGAACATTGAAACAAGACTAAAGATTTGTTTACCTGAAGACTTAGGGTCTGCTCTGATGGATGGTGTAGTTCTCTGCCATTTAGTAAATCATGTTCGTCCTCGATCTGTAGGAAGTATTCATGTACCTTCACCAGCTGTAGTAAGTTGAATGTTTCTTGTTGCATTGCAGTGGGGAGGGAGGAATATTTAAAAAATTACTTTTATTGCCAAATGATATCTGGCAATATATTGCTGTTCAATGAATGTTCTTTGCAATTAGGGGCATTTACATTATTACAAATTCAAATATTCATTAATTTTGATATATCTAACGTATATATAGTGTGTGTATATAAAAACAAACATCTGTAAGTGAATAAAATTATGCTGCCATTGATCTAGCAACAGATAAGATTTTTTTCATAATGGCCTTTTTGTTCAGCACAGTATGAAATTCTCTGATTACAAGATTTTATTCTAGGAGACCGCTTTTAAAAGAAAATTAGCCCCTTGTTTGTTGATTGAAAAAATATGAGGTTAACTTTAGCAGTGTCTGGCTTAGCAGATGTCATGTTACTAAAGCACTTACAGCACTTAACATATTTTTCCTATTGGGTTAAATATAGAACTTACTCCCTTTACCTGAAGACAGAATGGAACAGAAACATGTGCTGTAGTGATTTAATATTGGCTTGCCAAACCTAAGGACCTGAAGATTTCAGGACATGATGCAATCTGTGTGTGTGCATTTCCTGAAACTTAATTTTCTTAGTGTTTTCTCTGTTTATTGATGCCCACATTTCTGATACCAGTCTGGTTCTGAAGAGGTTTTGTATTTTTTTTAGACTATCTCACTTTTTTTGAATGTACTCGTTGGTAAATTTTGGCTTGTGAAGCCTGATACTCAATTCTGAGAACAGCATGTGGATTTCAGAGGCAGTTTATAAGAATTTCCAAGAAGACAGATATTAAGAAAAAGACATTTTCTCAGATAGTCTAGTGGAGTTTCTTTTGCTGTTGCTTGATTTTAAATTATGTCTGTCTTTGGTAAAAATATGACATTGCCAAAATATGTAAACTTGAATTTCTGGAGCAAAATCTTAAGTTTTGATGCAGATTTTTTTTTTTTTAATTAAGATAAAAGTCTTGTAGTGTTCTCTATAACAAAATGCAAATATTTAAAATCTGTTTTCATTTTGTTTCAATTTCATATTGATCATGTTATTTTGCTTGAAACAGCCCTCAAAGCTACTTTAGCAATATCAGCGCAATAGGTGAATCGACTGAATTAATGTTTTTGACTTCTTTTGCCATGAGCTATTTTTTTCTTGTTTTTACAGCCTAAACTTAGCATGGCCAAATGCAGGAGAAACGTGGAAAACTTTCTGGATGCATGTAGAAAACTAGGGATACCAGAGGTAATTTAATTAAGTCTGTTATTTCTAGATGATCAAAAATGCAAAACACGTCAATTACTACTTTAAAGCTGAAGGATAACTTTTTCAGCAATAGATATATATAATTTAAAAAAATTGATCTAAATTATGTGATTTAATACTGCTTTAGTGCATTTAAATGGCTTATATCATAGCACTTAAAAATTGCAACTTTTGTCTTAAATTAGTAATTCAGTATTATCCCCAATACCTCCTTATCTTTGCCATGGAAAATAAATAAGGACTATGGTAATTAGATAATATGCAATATGTAATTAGGCAAAAGTTTGTTAACCTTTTGCATTTTACAATGTAACTGCATTTTTACCTAGTGCTTTCAGAATATGGACTTAATTATTTTTATTTATTGATTTTCCCTTTTTTACGATATTAAATACTCTTTTGTATACCTTGTAAAAGTGACTTGTACTGAAACACCTCTGCAGTGATATGAAGAAAACAGTTGTCTGTGTGTTAGTATGGAAAATGTGTATGAATGAGGTTCTATAATGTAGATAAGTGTTTCAGAAGGTGGAGATAAGGAGATTGCAGTGCTTGATGTTTTGCCTTTCATTTAACAGCAGCAGCATTCATCCTGTAATTTATTGACAAATCAATAAGGAAAAATATCTTTGTAACTAATGTAATGAATTCTGGAGTTGCACTGGGAATATTTCAAATACTCCCTTGTGGTCTAAAAGTACCTATTAAGAAAAAGTTAATTTCAATTAAGACCATCAAAAAAAGGTAAAAGTGGTTATACAAGGTCTTTTTAATCTGAATACATGAAAACTGCATGATGTATTTTCACTGTTGCCTACATACGACAGTATAATGAAAACTGAGTTATTTTTAGTCTGTGTCTCAAGAATGATGAAACAAAAGGATATTTTGTGTGTATCTTCCCCACCACTCCCTTGGGGAGCAGATGGTAATGCAAAGATTTCACATTGGGAAAGATTTCCAGTTTGAATGCTTTATATTTTATCTATATTTTAGCACTTGGTTTAGAGGACAGCAAAATAACAGATCATTTTTGCTATTTGTAGGAATTTTGACGGGGAGACTTTGTCTTACAGCTCTAATGTATGGTTCATCATAAATTTAATTTGAGAATTCAGTGTAATGGGATGGGTCTCTAAGTTGTAATAGTTGATTTAGGTGTTGTAATTATGTAATTTATTATGTTAGAATGATTTCATAGTAGAGGTAAAATTTCACTTCAAAGATGATCAAAATCTCAGTGCTGTGGGCTTGTAGACATGGAGTATGTGTTAAGATGCCCCAAAATTTATTGTCTTCTGATGCATCGTAAATTATTTGGTGAATTAGAATGCAAGTAAGGTTTTTCTGGATATAGCCTATTAGGAAAGAAAAGGCCAAGACCTATTTTCATTGTCATCAAGAGAACTTTCAGAAATGGAGATAGAACAGAAATATTTACAAAGATCCTTGTAGTGCCATATTACAGATGGGTAAGCTAAGCCTTTACTCAGAGGCTTTTTTTATTTTGGATTTCTATAAGTAAGCTTTCTGGAAAAATACCTTTATGTTTTCTGTAATATTTTATATATTTATTATCCCTCCTTTTTAATGCTTCCATTTAAATTAGTGTAGAATTTTTAACATTATTACAGTACATTTGTTGCAGTTGCATAGAGCCTTAAGCACAAGGCAAGATCTTACCAATCTGATTCATAAACTAACTGTCCATATGAATCTAAATAAACATTATCTTGAGGGGAGAAACAATTCACTTAAACTTTAAATGAACATCTTGCAGTTGTAAATTTATGATGAGTTTTAAGTACTCTGAGGATATCCTTTTTGATTACCTGTTGGTAATTAGCAAATGTATATGTTTGCTATATATTGTGAAAATCCATCATGTTGCAGAACTATCTGGTAGTTGATAGAACCTTGCTGTGTGTTGGAGGGATGTGTATTAGGAATACAAAGTTGTATGATACCAAATATGACAGTCAACTGTCAAAGCTTTTAAAGAACTACAGATGGTGTGTTTAATGCTGCTTCAGGTTGGTGAGTTGTACTTTGCCTAACTGTCTTGACAAACCAATAAACCAAATGCAATGAATTACTTGCTTTTTTAGAAACAAGCATCTTATGGGAAAGTGATAGGTTCCACTTATACCCACAGGTATTAGGCTTTTCTGTGATACCTATGTCCATGTTTAGTTCCTGAGAATTGAAATACTGTTACACAGGATTTTTTTAAGGATTTAAAATTGTCCTAGTTCCTGTTGGTTCGTTTTCAGTTATAATGGAATGGAATAGAGAACATGCTATTTCCTGAACTCCACAGGTTTAGAATCCTGTTAAATCATGTGAAATGAAAGCAAGGAAATAGCTAAGTAATTACCGTGTTGTGATGATGTGCATGGTCTCTTACTTCTGTGGCTTTCAGTCTTCAATTCTTGGGTCAAAATTCCTTTCCCCAGAATGATCTTGGGAAACTTCATCCAAGTGTAGAAAATGCAATTGGCATCTGTATCCAAATGTGTCATAGTATGTATTGGAAGTTGGCATCTTGACCAAAGAATTACAAATACCAAATTCAGGAACACAAGCATCTCTTTATAAATGACCTGGTATGCAGATGGTTCTGAAAGCCATTACCTGACAGATGAGAATTTCAGTACAATGGGCAGCATGTTGAAATCACTTTGTTAATGGCCATATGATGCTCCTTATCACATGCAGAAAGGACATACTGGATCATATGCAAGAGTGATGTTGTAAGCATATGGTTCTGACCCTTTAATAAAAAACTAACAAGGTGCTTACTGCACTGGTAGGCTATCAGTAGTGTGAGAATTGTAGGATGGTCAACCTGTGTCCAGTTTTGCCACTAACTTTTCCTATAGTACCTTATCAGAGATCCTCATAAATGATCATTTTTTGAGACAAAACAAAATTTTTGTTTGATGTGAGAAAGGGATGATGTCAGGTAAGCATCTGAAAGCCTGAACATTCGGAAAATACCTATAGTGCCCCTTGGGAGGTGACAGAAAAGGTACGATCTTTGTCACTTAAAAAAGTACAAAAGACTTTATTTTATGCTATTAACTAAAAACTGTCAAATTGCCTAATCTACTCTGTAATAGCAATAGAATGGCAAGCAGTCCTACTTTTTGGCTGATACAGATTCAATAAGCAAGTGGCAGTAGATGTGTGATAAGTAGGGGGTGCCTGTTCTGCTGCATTTTTCAGAATGACATGCAGTACTCAGATGGTGCCATTCACTCGAGTAGATTGTTAATGTCATATGAACCCACTCCTGACACTACCTTTAATGCTTACCCAGTCCACCTATATTGCACCCACCCCCTTACACTTTCTGGGTTTAAAAAGTAAAGCTGTTTTTTGGGGGGTGTTTTGGGGTGTGTAAGTATGGCCTCCGACGTGTCAAAGCTACCAGTTCTGATGCACTCTTATGCTTCTTAGTGACATCTCATCCCAGAGGTAATAACAATGATCAGGAGAGTCTGAATTATCTTCACACGAGTATATATGTAAAGTTATGGAAGTATATGTAAACAAAAAAAGAAATATTCATATACATTTCTTCAGCTTGTCAGTTGCCATATTAGAATCAGTATTCATAGTAGTAGCAAAGAAGTAGACTTTCCCACTTTAAACTGCAAATCAATAACTTAGTTCAGGTTTAGCTTTCATTCTTGGTAGCTGTTTTTGTTGGTAATCCATATTATAGAGCATTTTTTCTTATGCACTTTCAGTAATGTTAACAAATATTCTTGTCAAAAGGAAAAAATAACTCATTTGTGGTGGGCTGAATGATACTTTATTATAAGTGAGATTTAGACCAAAACAAAGCTGTAAATGCAGTATATTACTTGAAAGGCCAAGTTACAAGTTTTGTCTGAATTTCTTCTAGTTCTCAATTATGAACAACTATGGCATATCAGAAGTGGGACTTTCTAAACGTTTTGTCAAAAAAGAAATCAAAGTATTTTCAATATTTGTGAGCTAAAATGCAGAAGTGATCTTTTTACAAAGACAAATTAATGTTTATAATCTACAACTTAAACTAATGTAGTATTTTAACAGTTTAGGCACTTGAGCATCTTTTGGCCCTTTATGGAACCTCTTCAGGTCAGAGAGATTAGGTAGTTATTTTTTTTAAAAATAGGAAAGGGAGACTTTCCCCACATACACTAGACACACCTTGTCAGTCTTCATATAGCTTGAAAAAGAGATAGACTTAAATTAATACTAGAATGGTAATTTCTGTAGATAAAAAGTAGTGGTAAAATGAAATCTTTCACAGCCAGTTGTTACAGCAAGTTCGCTGAGCTTCTGTGTTCCAGCATGTCAGGAGTGGTGCAGCATGACTTTGTGGGACAAGTTACATGGGTGAGAATGAGACACTTCTGCCATGTCAGCTACTTGGTGTACACATATTGAACAGAAAGGAGTGTGATGGTAAGGAATGGCTTTTTGTCATCATATGAAGATTCAGATTACAAAAGGCTTAGCTGTGCCCCTCCATTTGCAGGACTTAAAAGTCACAGGGAGCTAGTTACTGTGTCTCACGTCCTCCACTGAAAACTAGGTCCACTATGTTGCAGTGTGAGCCAGAATTATTCTAAAAAGTGTTAGGTTAGGAATTGTGAATTAAGTAAAACAGAGGCCTTTGTATGCTAAAACTGTCAGAACAAAGTAAAAGAAGCAACCAAGCAGAGTGTATCAAGTGTTTTATCTTCTATCTACTTATTAGTTGTTCATCTGGTAATCATGTTTCTCAGTTTAATGCAAGGTATATTTTCATTATCACTTACGCTTGTTTTTTGATCAATTTGTGTAATCAGTTACTTCTCCATAGTTTCATCATGAGATATCTATGAAGTTGCAGTAAGTTTTATCAGGTATGACTCCTTTCCTCCACCCTTTTGTTCTGGGCTCAATAACATACACTGTTTGGCCTACAGTATGGAATTAAG